GACACTGAGAGCCTCAGAAATCCCTGGAGAATCCTGGGATGTCAGTTAGGGATAAGCACACTCAAGCAAGCACCACTGCCTTTTCCTTGGACCTCTTTACTTCTGGGGTGCTGTGGAAAGTGCCACCCAGTCTGAGCAGGAGTCTTCTCCTCTCACTCAATTCTTCCTGGGAATGTTCTCCAAGATCTGTTCAGAGGTGTCTTTCAGTTGATTCCAGAGCCAAGCAAACTGGCAATCAAGATTAACCATCATAATGGCAGCAGGTAAGAGCACTGGCAACTTTTCCAGAGGACCAGATTCGATTCTCAACAACCACATGATGATTTACAAAAATCTGCAGCTCCAGTTTCAGGGGATCTTCTGGCCTCTGCTTGCACCAGGCACTCATATGGTGTCCCTACATGCATGTAGGATAAACACTCACACATAAAAAATAAATAAATACTTACATCAGAATCACATTATCCATTGACCCCTTGAATCCATCTTTGGGGTATTGATGTAAGGTCAAAGTTTGGGGGTGTCATTTAATTATTTTTTAGGCATTTTAGGGACAGTTTTACTATCTAAATCTGGCTGGATTTCTGTGGAAGCATGAGGACCTGAGTTTGATCTCTAGCAACAAGTAAACACTGGCATTCTGGTGGCACACTTATAATCCCAGGACTGGGGAGGGGTGGGACAGAATAGCCCTAGCCTAGCAGAGGTCAATGCATTCCAAGTTCATTGTTCATTGAGAAACCTGTCTCAAAAAATAATGTGGGGCATGATTGAGGAAGACACTCAACATTGACCTCTGGCTGTAAGTGAACATGCACCTGCACTCACACACAAAAGAAGAAAAGAATATTCCTAAAAACAAAAACAAAGTTAACTGTTAATTGTTCTTGAAGGGATCCTAGTCCACTCTGAGCACATAGCTCTGGCAGACCTTGCCCTTCTCCCCAGTTCCCTCCACCTTGCTAAAACCTGTTAGATTACTTTCCTCCCTACCCCCCACCCAGTCTATTCCCTTATTTGGGCACTTCCTCCTCCTGAGGCTGATTACCAAGGTCCAGATATTAAAGTACTGAAGTACAGCAATTGGAAGCCCACTTTGGCTCACCTAATTTACACACCCAATTAAAATTAAATACCCTGCCCTCTGTCCCTCTGGGGCAAACAAATCTCCTTTGTTCTGAGAACTTGGTCTTGGGGGTCCTGAGCTGATACTTCTTTCAGAATGCAGGAAATTAACAGTTAACTGTTGATCTTGGGTCCAAAGAAGAACTGGTTATTCAATGATTTAATTTTAGCCAGAACTAATAAAAATATTAACTAATTTTCAACTTCCTTCCTGATGGAAAGATTTGTGCCTGGTTCTGCTAAATACTAATGCGGGAAGTGGCAAATATCTTCCACATTAAAATGTTAATCCTGGAAACCAAGACTAAAAATTCCTTTAGAGTATTGCTATGTTTTTATGGTTATAAAATTACAATAGGTATGTCCTCAACATCTTTGTTTCTCTGTGTTCTCTGTGTTTGGATCCAATGAAACCCAAATGACTCAGAAGAGCCCCAGAAGACTACAACTCACGTCAGCCTTTGTCATCATATGGCAGCGGTCCCAATAACAGAACTCCAACATCATAAAAGCCCTGTTGTGGTTTGAATGTGCAAATTTTTCCATAGGCTCAAATGTTTATCACTTGGTGTTGGAGGGCTGTGAAAACTGTAGGGTGGGAGCCTTGCTAAAAGAAGTGGGTCAGTAGGGGTTGGCCTTGAGGGTATTTAGCCTAGCCCCATTTCCTGGCATCTCTCTGCTCATAACTGTGGACACAATGTGACTAGTTACTTCTTATCTCTTCTTAAACTGTGAGCCCCAAATTCCTTATATTTCTTCTTGTCATGTATTTGATTGTAACAAGAAAAGTAACAAATACATTCCCAAATGGTTCAAAAAAACCTGAACAGCTCAAAAGAGCCTCCAAACCAAGAGGAATATAAACCTGGAAGTGCACTATCTAGGGAGAAATTAACAAAGGCCAGACATCATCAAAAGTTCAAAACAGGAGTTGGAGAGCCAGCTTAAGGATTAAAAGCAATTGTTCTTGTAGAAGACCTGGGTTTGGTTCCCAACACCTACTATAGATGGCTCACAACTGGCTGTAACTTCAGTGCCAGCAGATCTAACTCCCTCTTTTTGGCCACTGCAGATACTTGCACAAACACGGTGAACACAAAGTTATATAGGCACACATGCACACATTAAAAAAAAAAACTTCAACAATATAAACACTACTTAACTAAGGGCAGAAATGTAAAATGTTGTTACCAGTAGCTATTCCTTAAAAGGATAAATAGAATTGCCAGATGACTCAACAATTCCATTCCTAGGTATATACAAAAGACTATATACAAAGGTATACACAAAAGAACTAAATGCAGGAACTCAGGCAGGTAAGCATACATCAATAGTCAACATAGAATTATTCAAAATAATCAAGCATCTTGTATATCAACATATAAATGGATAAACAAAATATATATACATATATTCATATTCATCTATATAAAAGAATAAAATTATGGTATTCACAAATCAATGGGGAGTTATTACTTAATGGTATATGACAGAAAATCTGAGATAACTCAACTTAAAGGTACAAAGAGGTCCACTTGGCTGGTGGTTTCAGAGGACTGAGCTCAAGATTAGCTGTCTCTGCTGATTTCTAGCCTGTGGAAAGGCTGATTATCTTAGCAGAGATATGGGGAGCAGCCTGATTCACCTCAGAGAGGCAAGGAACCAAAGAGAGAGGAGAGAGTCCAGGGTATCCACATCCTTTCAGTGGTATATCCCCAATGGTCCAACTTCTTCCCACAGGCACTTCCTACAGTTTCCAGCACTTTCCAAAAGTGTTATGTCCGGGAGACTAAGCTCTCAGTACATGGACCTCTAGGGACATTCAAGATACAAACTGTGGAATGGAAAAGGAGTTTCTGTTTGGAGTTCTGCAAAGGTTTTGGAAATTGTTAATAATAAAAAGATTGCAAATGTAACCAAAGTCACTTAATTTGACACATAAAATCACACACACATACACATATGATTGTTACTAGGAAGTGTCTGTTTCTCAAAGGAAAAGAAAAACTTTTAGCAGAAGAGAAAGAACTATTAAATAAAGCCCAAACAACAACTGTCAGAGGCAATCTGACTACTGTGGTCACCTTTAAAAAGGGACCTTTAAAAGTCACTTTACAGTGGCTGCACAGTGTTCAGTTTTATTCTGAAATAAAATATGAGGAGGTGGCAGAGAGGCAGGTTCTGACAGGATTGCCTGCCTCCTTGCCTGCTATACCCAATTCTTCTTGTACATTTCTTCAACATTAAAGTGATACAAGCGATAAACTAGATGCCCCTTGAAGCAATGCTTGTTATCAGTGCTATTTTATCTCATTTTGAGAACATGACCTGCACCTGGAACTCAACATACAATGTCAATCTTATTTGTACCAGATCAACAGAAAGCTGTTATTCCATTTAAGATTGTGCTCCTAGTGAACTGCCCTACTGTTCAACGCAGCTTACACCATGATAAACACCAGAGAATGCCATTCAGCTTCCGGTCCCCAGTGGAGAGCAGCTTGCCTAGCCTGTTCTCGTCAAGGATGCTGTGTACTCCAGTCATGCATGCGTCCACAGGTTCTGAGGCACCCTACACCTGCAAGTCTATTACAGGTGAAGACTAAGTCCAGGTCAGGGTTCACGGGTAGCCCTGGCTTTGCTGGGGAGTGAAGTAAAAATGCCATTACCCATCTCTGAATACAAGGAAAATGGTAACAGAGAGATCAACCACACTATCACTCCCTGAATCGGTAAGATGTCACTGTGAGTAGGAAGCCAGAAGGCCAACACCAACACACACACCTAACAAACAAAACCCCAAACCCAAAACAGGAGAAAACTTTTTTCTATGTTGTTATTTTTTGTTTTGTTTATTTGCTTGTTTTGGGAGATAAGGTCTCTTTAGTACAGGCTGGTCTTGAACTTGTAATCCTCCTGTTTCAGGCTTCTAGTACACCTGGGATGACAGGTTAGCACCGTCATGTGCAATTTCTGATCTATCTGAAGAGGGCTACTGCAGGACACGTAGACTTAAAGCCAAGAGCTTGGGAAGGGGTCTTGGGGAAGTCGAAATGACAGAGGGGCACAGTGCCAGTGCCACAGACCACAGCAACCTGAAAACAGACAATTCACCTAAAGCGCCCAATAGCTCCCTTTTCTAGCTGTGCCAGCAAGACTTTTCTTCTAAGGGAGGTCCTTGGCCTTGTAACATTTAGTTTTAATAAGCTATTTTATTTGGACCTATATATCCTTTTCACAGTTTCCCCCAGCGGTGACATCTGGCAAGTGTCTTACCATGGAGTTTGCCCCTCAACACAAAAGTTCTTTTTATAGTCACAGCCATTTCCCCTCCAGAATCTTCCAACCACTACTCTGATTCTCCATTCCTGTTAAATTGCTCTTCTGAGAAACAGAATCAGGAAACAATTGGGGGGGGGGGGGTTTGAGTTGCCCCTACTCTGGGAAACTCCCGGCGGACTGGAGCTGGGTATATTCACAACTCATCCCTTTTTTGATTGCCTAGTAGCACACTGCGGGAGTTTTGTTCTGTTTTACCCGTATATATTCAGAAGCTGTATGCGTGATAAAGTACGAAGCAGGAGGGCGCCTCTACCCTTCTCCCAGTACAGTCTTCCTGACAGTCTTCAGCAAAGAGCTAAACTGGTCCTGCCCACAACCACAGGAGCCCAGCCCGGGGGCTGGAGGGTGAAGGAGACTTGGGGAGGTAAGACTGAAGCCCTGTGATCCGGCACTGTGGGTGGGTTACGGTACACAGGCGGCCAAAGGACACTGTGAGGGCGGAGCGAGGGGCGGAGCCCAGTGGGGGAAGTGGACCCTGAATCCCAGTGCGCAGCCGCAGCTGTGGTGCCTGCTGGCTTAAGGCATTTCTGCCCTGTGATGTGGTGGTGTCTGCAGTGTGCCCGTGCTCCCCACTGAAGACTGAGGTGAGAGTGTCTGTTCACTGCTTCCCCCGAGCGCGCACGTCTTTCCAGCAAGCAGCCTTGGGGCTAGGAGGAATGCTGGACCGACGAGACCCCTTCTATTTTTTTAGCTTGCGAATTAGATCTTGTGTCCCTGAGGTTCCTCGCACCTCGCACCTCAGTAGACTTAACACATCAGGCCCAGGTCCTGCTTAAGACGAACGGTTGCATTCTATGAGCCCACTTCTGGATAGAGAGCAGCTGTGGGTCTCTGCATATTTACTACCCAAGGATAAAAGTCAAAGTTGGGCCCAGAGCTAAGTTTGTATATGGTGTCTTCTCTTCCCTGGCGCCTTCAAGCAGCTGCTGTTCACACTGCCTTTAAGGACACTGGCTCAAAAGAAATATCAGCTTCTGTAACTGTTAATGTGAAATTATCGGTTTCAGTAATCTCTAATCTATGGAAATCTCAGTCAGAGGAATACAGAAAACTGAATTTGTGTGAATGATAGAAGGTTCTAGTAGCATGACCTATAGCTAGGGATGGTCGGTATTTTGGGAGGACATAACCTAAGTGAGCACAGAAGACAGGCACGCAATGCTATCACTACAGGATGATATGTTAGCTCCTAGAATGGCCACCATGGAGCCTGCCTGTAAATGATACAGTGAAAATATCAAAATAGCTGCTGGGTGTTAAGACAAAATTACATTTATCTCTAAGTTTCAGAGCTCATTTCATGTGGCTTGTTGGTTAACAACCACAGCCTCCCACCAAAAACAAAACAGCAGCAGCAGAAACAAAACTAAACACCTGGGAAATGTGCAGTTCCCACCTAAGGAGAGCTCTCAATGCACCTCTGTACCTGCGGGTCGGGAGACGGCTCTGTTCCTTCCCATTGCTACTGCTAGGAGAGTAGGAGCGTTGAGTAAGAGGAAATTCAACTCTGATGCACACTCCCACGCTCCATTTCCTGTGAATGTGTAAACTGGGCTGAGCAGGACAGCTAGGGTGGTGAAGCAGGAGAGGCTTAAGAGAGTCTAGTGTGCCTAAGGCGCTGCAGTGCAAGCCCCAACTAAAGAGGCTCTGGTCTCTCACTCGGGAGATCTCAGGATGTATTTTGTTCATCTGCAGTGCTCTGGGAACCTCTGCCTAAGGTCTGCTGTTACTCCTAGGATAAAATCTTGACTCTGCCCTATTTACTTGGTCATTCCCCATCCAGCTCCCAGACTGCATTCCCGACCACTCACTTCAGATCACAGCCCAATTAAATAACCTTTCTTGCTGTTTCTGGAACTTTCCAAATCAGTTCCCACCAGGTCCTTACTTGATTGCCTGCCCTGCCTACCCTGCCCACCTGCCTTCCCTGCCCGCCTGCCCTACCTGGACTTCTCTCTTGCTCCAGGTTTTTTCATGGCTGGCTCTATCACTGTCTCTATCAATTCTGACACCCCTTCTGTAATGGAGCAGACACAGAAAATGTGGACTTGTGGTGTCTACGTAATGTTTGGTGACTCTGAGATATGGGAACGTTATCTGATTAGTGCTCTGCCAGAGATGAAGCTTTAGATCTGCCCTATAAACATGCAGTGTAAACTGTGGGAAGAACTCTGACCTCCATCTCTAACCCTTCTCCTAGACTTAAGGTGCATCCATTTCCACAAGGCATTATAAGGAGGTGCAAGAATTTAACTTGCAAATAGCATTCATCAGAAAAGAAAATTCTTGGCACTGAATTCCCAAGAGGTCAAGGTCAATTCTGACTTTTAAAAAGTGAGACTGTACCCTGGGGAAGATTTCACCCAGCATGGAGCTTTCCACCCGTTGACCCAGCATAACCCTTGGCATCTTCCCAAAGCCCTTAGCACCTAGCTCAGCACCACTATCACCAAATGAAGGTTTAAGACTGAAAAAAATCACCTCTGTTTTCCTCAAGACTATCCTTAAATAAATAAATCCATTTCCTCCCACCAGTCCTGTACAAGCAGCATGTACTATGAGCATGGTAACACGGATTGGTTTTCTATTTAGTGTGACAAACATCTTTCATTCCAGTACAGTATTTCTTCAGGGTGTCACTGCTGCCATCGGCACCAGCACTTTCCACTGTCTAAGAGCTGATTGATTGCTTTGCCTGCTTGTTGACTGTTCACTGTCTCTCCAGTACCAAAGGGTATATATAAAGCTCAGTTCCTGTTTGTTTGCTCACTTCTGTGTCTCACCACCTCATTCAGTACTGCACCAGATAGCTGCTTACAACACATGGTTGTTGTGAATAAAGCTATGGACATGGGTAAACAAACGGGTCGAGGAAGAGACCTGCTCAGTCGTCCTTATCAACTTAGACCATGAAATCTGATGTGGACAATTCAACAGGAACTGCCATATACGGGCTGCTCCTTCATGCTTCAGCATTGCCAGGGTACAAATTTCAATTTCTTTCAAACAAGTGGGTCAGTCTCAAAATCATGTGGCCCAAGAGCTTCAAAACCTTGTAGGTAAGTAAGTAGTCAAGGATGATCTTGAACTCCCAATCCAGGATTACTGACATATCATACCATACCTCAAGTCCTGTTTGGATCCTACTTTTGATTCTTTTGAACAGATAATCAAGTGAAACTTGATCAACAGAAGAACATAATGATTCCCTGTTTAATTTTTAAGGAGACTCTCAGTTACCTTCCATAGAAGCTGCACCATTTTATACCTCACCAACACTGAACTAGTCTCTTTATCTGCCATCAAGTCTTGCCGCTCTGATTTTAGCCATAATAGTTCCTAATGACTAGCATGCCTTTCCGCATGATTATTGAGCTCATTTGTGTAAGTTTGGGGGAAAGGAGGTCAAGTCTACCCATTTCTGAGTTGGACTGTTTGGTTTTTCACTTTTATCTGAGTGTTTTGTTTTTTCCTGGAAATAGCAGGAAGTATTGTATATTACTTACTTTGCTGCTGCCGTGATAAAATGTCATGACCAATGGTGACTTGTAGAACAACAAGTCTATTTTGGCCTATGGTTCCAGAGAAAATAAGAATCTACCATGACAAGGAAGCATATGGCAGCAAACAGCAGGCATGATGACAGGAGCAGGGACCTGAGAGTTCACATCTTCAATCACAGAAGTGGGCAAGGCTATATAATCTCAAAGCCTACCCCCAGTGTTATACTCCCCCAGCAAGGCTGCACCTCCCCATAACCTCTCCAAACAGTTTCACCAAACGGAAACCAAATATTCAAATACCAGAGACAAAGTGGGTACATTTCTCATTCAAACCAATACATCCTGCCTCCAGAAAGTTGTTTTGGAGATGGTCAGCCAAGAGAATGATGACACAAGCCTCCATGTCTTTGGAGTCCATTATGGAGAACATTTTAAGCCAAAATCTTTTACTCAAGGGAAGGATGCTGGAGATTAAACTCCAGGCCTTGCACACGCTAAGTACATGTTGTACCACTGATCTCCACCCAAGGTCCCCTAGAATCATATATTATACTCAATATATATGTGTGTGTATATACATATATATGTGTGTGTGTGTATACACACATGTGTGTGTGTGCCATCTTTCTTACTTTCTTACTTTTCTGAGCCAACCTGTGCCACTAGTTGGAAGACTGAGGTACCCAACTGGCCTTATTTATAGTTGTGAAAAAGGCCCAGTAATGCAGTGACATCCCCTTGACTTCCCCAATGCCCTTCATCTTACCAGCCTCACTGGCTAAAAAGGAAATCTTGGTATGCAGGAAGGCTAGCTGAAAAGGCACCACTCAAATTTTTCTCTATGGTTCCTTTTCCAGGAGTTCTTCTATAGCTGCCTACATGGAAAGTTCAAGTCCTTCCAGAAAACGAAAGAAAAAAAAAAAAAAGCTCTGGTTTGGCATTGTGTGTGGTTTATACCAGAAAGCCTACTTCTCCAGAGGTTGGCTCGCCCTCTGAGAAGCTGTTGTTCAGATGTGTTTGTGAATCACGCTGAGGCCTACAGCTGGTATCCTGACCTCAGCTCTATCTTCCATTCCTCCCCTGGCTTTTTCTCTTCCAGAGTCTTACCATCACCAAGAAGAGTGACAGTACCTGAAACTCCAGTCTGCTATATCAAATCAGAGAACCCATCTCTTCCAACATGGCAGGTAATAACCTGTTATGGGGTGTTAGACATTTAGCCAGAAATAGTATCATTTGTTATTAAAAGTCCCAAGCAACATAGATGCATATATGAACCCTCCTGGTTTATGACATGGATCATTGTGTGTAATTATTTTCTTTCGTATTTTTTACTTTGCCCATTTCAACCTCCTCCTGAAAAAGTGTGGCATATGCTTACCCTATCTTTGTCATGTTGAAATAAAGAGCGGCGGGGCTGCATCCCCAACACCCCGGCCGCTTGCATGGCTAGCTTATGCCCGAAATAACAACACACAAACTGTATTCATTTAAGAACTGCTTGGCCCATGAACTCTAGCCCTTACGGGATAATTCTCGCACCTGGACTAGCCCATTTCTAATGATGTGTGTAAGCACCCCAAGGTGCGCTTACCGGGAAGATTCTAGCCTAAGTCCATCGTGGGTTGCAGCTGCCTGGGAGAGCAGAGCATGGCGGCTGTCCGGTCCCTCTGGAAGCAGCGCAGAGTCTGACCTCACTTTCCACCCAGCATATTATCCTGTTTATTCCGCCCACCTATCTTTTAACCTATCAGGGCCAGCAGTTTCTTTATTGCTCAGCCAATGAAATCAACAGATTGATATGACACTCCCACATCATTGTCAAAAACCATGCTTAGGACAAAAAGTTCCCAAAAAAGGGGGGAACTGAGAAAATGGGCTTTTTAGACCAACCTTTGATTCCATCTTTACGTTTCCCCTCCTTTTGCAGTACTGGCACCACATGCCCCAGAAGCACATGTCCTATCACTGTGTCACACCTGCAGTGCTTCTGTGTCCGCTTATTACATATATGCACACAGGAGGGACACATACCTAATTTTACAACTCACTTTTTTTACACAGTAATATGTAACATTGTAATTGTTTCACTTTAAACATGCAGAGGTAATTACCTCATTTTACATGTTATAGTGTAGATTTGGGGTTTTTCTTTGCTTTTGCAATATTTATTTATTTATACATGCCAGAAAAGGACCCTGCTAAGCTTTATTTTGTCATTTTGTCCCTCGTACCTATCTTTGGATTTTTCACCCCTGGTACTACTGATATTTGAGACCAGATCTGTTGTGAGGGTGCCATCTTATAGCATTTTTAGCACACTGTCTCTGGGCTGTACCCATTAGATGCTAGACGCACTCCATCCACCACCAGTGATGATAATTAGAAATATCCCCATCTTTGACAGCTGTGGCTGTGACTGGTAACTTTGCCCCTAATTGAGAAACACTGATGTAGGTATTTCATTTATATTCATTCTTTTGGCAAGCTCTTCAAGTACAGTTCCTTTATAACACTGGAGCATTAGAAAGTGAAATAAAACTTAATAATTACTCCAACCCATGGAATCCAACCTTTACACTGAGATGAATGCCCTGAAATTGTTTGCTTCATGCTAACATTTGTTTTCTGTTCAGGGTCCCAGACTAGAAAGTTCAAATCAAGAGTTTAACATCTTAGTGGCAGAGAGATTGTCAGTAAAGTGCCTGCCAAATGCACACGAAACCTGAGTTCAGATTTCTAGCACCCACACAAAAGCCAGGCAGAGGATCACTCATCTGTAACCCCGGCACGCAGAAAGAGGTAACCCTGGAGCTCTCTGTCCAGCCAATCTAGCCAAATAGTTCAATGAGGGACTATCTCAAAAAACTAAGGTAGAAAGCCACTGAAAAGGACACCTGACACAGACCTCTGCACAGACCTCTGGCCTATACACACATGAGCACATAGGTGTACTCACATTCCAAGAGTTTTACTGTATGAGTGTGTGTATGTATGTGTGCACATATGCAAGTGCACTTGTATGTGTGGGTCCATGAGAAGGCCAAAGGTTGATACTGGATATCTTCCTCACTTATTCTCCATCTGATTTTTAAAAGTTATTTTATTATGTATATGAGTGTGTGTCTATGTGTCTATGTACTGCATGCATGTCTTGTACCCACAGAAGTCAGATGACAGCATTGGATTTCCTGCAACTACAGTACAAATGATTGTGAATGGAACCCAGGACCTCTGGAAGTGCAGCCACTATTCCATCTTTCCAGTCCCCTCAACCTTATTTTTTAAATACAGGGTCTGTAATGGAATCTGTAGCACACTGATTCACCTAGAGTGGTTAGCCACCGAGCTCCCAGTATATATGGACATAAGCTGACACTGTTGGCTTTTTGGCTGGGTACTAGAATCCAAATTCAGATCCTCAGGCTTATTCATGATAGAAGTGGTGTCTTCATGGCCGGCTCTTAGAATCTTCTTGTCTCAGTGTCACCACCAAAAGATAGGTTCTACATGGTTCTGTCTCCCTCAAGAGACTAGGCTCTGGTTCCTCCTATTTTATTTAAGGGTCAGGTGTCCATGTATCTAGGGGAGATGAAAACAGAATACACCAGTCTGAAAGTTGCCATTATTGCTGCCTGCCGATGTAGGCACAAGATATTAATTCCTTTTAATTTTGTTTTATTTTCTGTTATAGAGAAAGACTAATATTTGTCATAGAGGCTATCAAAACTGAAGCAGGCTTTTAAAAGATTTTAGTTGTATGGTTTTTAAGGAAAAGGCTGACTATCTCAATCCAAAGATACAATTCTGAGCACATGATTACCAAATCTCCAGAATAAAAAAAAGTGGGTTCTTGAGCATTTATAATTTTGAATTTTAAAGTTTGAGGTGTTTGACTTATAAAGTCTATACAAATATTTCAAAGTCTGAAAAAAAAAAGCCAAATTCCAAATCATTTCTGGTCCCAAGCATTTAAAAAATAAGAGCTACTCAATTTGTATTAATAAGCCCAAGTTACAGCATACTCTAATAGCACTAAAATATGCATTATTTTATCACCCATTAAAAAATTGCTGATTCTTTTGGTTCAATACAGTTATGTTCCTATACATCACTTTTGCGCTAGCCATCATCAAGTTTTAACAGAAAGATGTGCTCTTCAAAGAAAACATTTCTTCCCTTGATACAGGGAAGAAAGTGCTCATAATCTATGCACACCAAGAACCCATGTCCCTCAATGGGTCCCTGAAGAATGTGGCTGTTGAAGAACTGAGCAAGCAAGGATGCACAGTGACTGTGTCTGACTTATATGCCATGAACTTTGAGCCCAGGGCCACAAGAAATGATATCACCGGTGAGTCCATGGGGTAAATCATCTGTCTTAAAATTTTCTGTGTTTTGGCCGGATGGTGGTGGTGCATGCCTTTAACCCCAGCACTCAGGAGGCAGGGGCAGGTGGATCTCTGTGAGTTTGAGGCCAGCCTGGTCTACAGGAGCTAGTTCCAGGACAAGTTCCAAAGCCCTGTCTTGAAAAAAAAACTGTTAACAATATCTAACTGCTGCCTCATGACCTTAAGTCTCAGGTCAAAGAGTCCTGATGCCCGTCTCTGTCATCTCTGTCCCCCAGCACCCAATTCTTCTGCTCCCATGGTAGTGAGGTTTCTTTTTTGTTGTTATTTTTGTTTGTTTGTTTTGCCCCACAGGTTTCTTTTAATAGAAAGATTAATCTATTTTTATTATGTGCATGTCGATGTGAGAGTAGGTGCATAGGGATGTGGTTGTCTGCAGAGGCCAGAAGTGAGCATTAGATACTCTGGAGCTAGAGTTACAGGTAGCTGTGAGCCTCTGGACATTTGTGATAGGACTTGAATCTGGGTCATCTACAAAATGAGTATGTGTAGCCTCTCCAGTCCCATTTTCTGTATTTTCAGAGATATCTGTGCTATGTAGGCAAGTACACTTAACCAGATTGAGGAGAGATTTTTCTGGGCTTGCAGTTCTAGGACAGTGACTGGATCATTGCTGTAGTAGCTTGTAAATACCTGGGAACTTGAGCACAATGGAACTAATTCTGGGGAAACAGCTTCTTATCATTTGAACATTTCCATAAGATCAGGCTGTAGGCAAGCCAGTAGGGCATTGTCTTAATTAGCGACTGGGGTGGGGGGCAACACGTGTGGGTTGGTCTACCCCTGTGCTGCTGGTCCTGTGTTTTATAAGAAAGCAAGCCAAGCAAGCTATAAGGAGTAAGCCAGTGATGGGCACCCATCCATGGCCTCTGCATCAGCTCCTGACTCACTAGGTTCCTGCCATTTGTATTCCTGTCCTGATTTCCTCCAATGATGAACAGTGATATGGAAGTATAAGTCATATAAACCCTTTCTTCCCAAAGTTGATTTGGTCCTGGTGTTTCATCACAGCAGTAGTAAACCTAACTACGGTAGAATTTGGTACTAGGAGTGGGGTGCCATGTTGTTTTAGAGAGGATTGTGGAAGGACTTCGGAACTTTGGGTGAAAAGAAGCCAGTGAATGTTCAAAGCTTGGTGAGCTCTTCTGTTGAAGCCTGGAAGAAAAAAGTGTTGAAATAAATGCAGACAACGGAGGCCTGGGTTGGGAAGTTCCAGAGGGAAGTTTGAGAGTTACTTAGACTATTGGGGCCATTATGTATTTACTATTTTGAATTAAGATTCCGTAGTTTGGGCCAGCTGGGGCTGAAGAGTCAGCCATGATTAACAAGAGACCAGTACCATTGAAGTAAAACTTTTATTTTACAGAATATCTTAGTCACTGCTCTGTTGCTATGAAGAGACACCAAAGGCAGCCCTTATTAAAAAAAAAAAAAAAGCATTTAATTCTGGCCTTGCCTACAGTTTCAGAGGGTTACTCCATTATCGCCATGGCAGGGAGCATGATGACATGCAGGCAGGCATGGTACTAGAGAAGTAGCTCAGAGCTACATTCTGATCTGTAGGCAGGAATTGAGATACTAGATCTGTTGTGAGCTTGTGAAACCTCAAAACACACTCCCAGTGACACACTTTCTCCAACAAGGCCACATCTCTTAATCTTTCCCAGTCTACTAACTGATGGCTCATATATATGAGCCTATGGTGACCCAATCTCTTTCAAATCACCACACTGGAACAATTTATGCTGCTCAGCTAGAGCTGAGAAATTAGCAGTAATTAAGAAACCAGCATCATTGAGGTGAAATGTTTCCTGAGAGTCAGCATAAAGAATAATATGTATCTATATCTATCTATAATTTAATATTCTGATCAAACTAGGTCAATATCACTTCCTAGTTTTTGTAATTGTTTTTACTTTAGTTTTCCATAAAATCTTTTAAGTCAGCATTCCATATAAAAAAAGAAATCTGGTGATATTTATGCTAAAGTTCCATTAAGTATACAGGTGAACTTAGGAAGAATTTACCTTTTGTGATGCTGTCTCTTGCTTTCCAAGAATGATGTGACCTTTTATTTGCTCTGCATTCTCTCCCTTCCCTCCCCTTTTATTCCTCAGGTTTATTGAGATGTTTTATCATATGGATTTTGATAGGTATATACTCAGCCAACCTTAACCTTTTTTTTTCATTTTACTTTCATTTTTGTTGTTTGTTTTGAGATAGGACTTCACTGTGTAACAGCCTTGGCTGGACTGGAACTTGTTCTGTAAACCAGATTGGCCTTGAACTCAGAGATCCACCTGCTTCTGTCTGTCAAGTGCTGGGCTCAAGGACTTACACTACCACAGTCAGCTCTAACTTTCTATTCTGCGGGGCTCTTCAGACATGTGAACAACTATCTGCAAATAATAATTTCACCTCATTTTCCCAGTATTTACTACCCCTAATTTGAAGGTGCTCATTGTCTACGCACTTGGAGTTGTGTAAAGTACAACTCAGATACAGCCTGTAATATTCATCATGATCTTTCTCCTTTTTTATGTGCTTGCCTATATGTACATCACATGCATACAGGTGCCTGAAGAGGCTGGAAGAGGGTATCAGAACTCCTGGAATTGGAGTTACAGGAGGTTATGACCTGGGTGCTGGAAACCAAATCCTGATCCTCTTCAAGAGTACCAAGTGTGCTCAACCACTGAGCCATCTCTCCACCACACCCTTTTTTAATACATAGGTCAGGCTGGGGATATATCAAAATAATCAAATACTTGATAAGCATATGCAAAGCTAGTACTATTATCTCTTAATAAACAGCAGCACAGGGACTAAGAAAATAGAAAGTAGGATATGGAATCATAATTTTTAAGCTAGTAAAATAATACATACCTCATGCCAAAAATACAGATAATAAGATTGAAAGTGTCAGCAAACACCATACCATTTAAACCCATCCACCAATTTTATTGTGTGCAGGAAGTGTCAGAACCAGTTCCCTTGGATACTGAAGGACACTGTAAGTGCAAAGAACCTAGGTTGATTTGGCCACACCCCATCTGATAACCTCTCCAGTACATCCTCGCCTCTTCCCTATAGTAGTTACAGCCTAAGGGTAAAATAGAATGCAAAGAAATGCTCAGCTTTTTTCAACTATGATAATATTGAATGACTGATCCATTTTCCATTGAGATTCTTGCATCTCAGAGGTCTTAATTTGCACCCTCTAGTCTTGATCCTATACAACTGGGGTCACATCTGAGTCTTAGGCCACATTACCTGCAGGCCACTTCTGCTACTTGGGACACAAATGGCACTAAGTACCTAGCCTTTCACAAGTGTTGGCTTCCTCTCTACTAAATCAGGAATTACGGTGATCTCATGGTTGTTAGGAAGAGAGGAAAAGTGACCAGTGTAGAGCACAGCTCCTGGCAGATGGGAAGTACTTCTCCCAGCCTTCTCTATCCTTAGCCTGCTCTCAAACCTGATCAGGTCACAGCAAATCCCCAAGGCTTTCAGGAGACCAGACCATACAGCAGTTTTTGGAAGGCTGAGCCAAGCTGAGAACACTCACCTAGGACTGAGAAATTGACCTCTTCCCTCCTAGGTGCCCTCTCTAATCCTGAAGTCTTCAGATATGGGATAGAAATCTATGAAGCCTACAAGAAGACAGCTCTGCCCAGTGACATACTTGAGGAGCAGAGAAAGGTGAAAGAAGCTGATCTAGTGATATTTCAGGTTTGTTTTTTCCTCATATTAATGATTAGATTCATCCTACGAACAAACACTTGAACATTCCATTTGGAACTAGTGTTTTTTAACTATGTTTGCAGTTATTTGAAATACCTTTCCTGTTACAAGTCTAATTAGAATACTTTCCTACTTTGATAAAGAGATTCTTATAGTCAGTGTTACTCACAACCCTAAATCAGTATCAATCAAAAATGTACTCATTGGCCCAGTGGTCCCAGAAGCATCAGAATCATGGCAGTCTTTCTGCTTTCATCCTCCCAAGGCCCGTCCCAGACATGCCAGCTAGCTGGGAACCAGATTTCTCTGCACAATTGTTTATCAAGCCAGTTTAGGCCAACTCTTGCATTACCTTGTTTCCATCCTCTAATTAGCTACTACATACATACTAATGAGCACACACACACACACACACCACAGATTGGTATATATATATATATATATATATATATATATATATATATCTGCTACAGAAGGAACTAGCCCTATAGACTGACTTCCAGAAGCACTAACTCAATCTGGCCACTCCTACCAGCACTGGACAGGGTACAGTTAACATATATCCATCATCTAGGCAGTCAGGTAAGTGTGTGATTCCAAAGAGTTGTTGCACTGTTGGAAATCCAAGTCAACTCAACAGGAAGAGGGGCTAAGTATATAAGGGCTCTGCTCACTTGAGTCCCCTGAGCAAGAACAGCCATGGCAGCACTTCTGGAATGCTTTGCTTTCCCCAGATTTCCATCATGCAAGGACTTCACTGACCAAAAGTCTGTTTTCTCGCCTATCTTAGTTCGGGTTACTATTGCTGTGATGAAACACCATGACCAAAAGCCAGGTTGGGGAGCAAAGGGTTTATTTGGCTTACACTTCCACATTCACAGTCCACCACAGAAGGAAGCCAGGATAGGAACTCAAACAGGGTGAGAACCTGGAGGCAGATGATGATGCAGAGGCCATGGAGTATTGCTTCCTGGCTTGCTCAGTCTTTCTTACAGAATCCAAGATCACCAGCCCATGGTGGCATCACCTACAATGGGCTGAGATCTCTACATCAATTACTAATTAAGAAAATGCCCCACAGGCTTGCCTGCAGCATGATCATATGGAAGCATTTTCTTAATTAGGCTCCCTCCTCTCGGATGACTTTACCTTGTGTCAAGTTGGCATAAAACTTCCTCACTGCCTACTCTGTGGCTAGCACAAGGAACTGTCATCAGGAGACAGTTACCAGAATAGCAACTCAACCATGGTCAGCTCTACCTTTCATCCCACTGTGCCCGTGTTGTGCCCCACCTTTGCCTGTTGGATGTCCTGGGAGGAGAGGTCAGTGGGACTAAAGTATGAATCCTGAGACAGATTCTGCTTGTTGTTCCATCCCCAGTTCCCACTATACTGGTTCAGCGTTCCAGCAATCCTAAAAGGCTGGATGGACAGGGTGCTGTGCCAAGGGTTTGCCTTCGACATTCCAGGCTTTTATGACTCCGGTTTTCTCAAGGTATGTTCTCTGGGGATAAGGATCAGTATGAATCCTTCCAGTGAGAGGAAGGTGAGGGCATCTATCAACTTATTTTTCTAGTTTGCATATTTGTATAAGGTAAGTAAATATTTATTAAGCACTTAATGTATGCATAGCACACTTCATGGATGATAAGTACACCCTTTTTTAAACTCAGAGCTTGTTGATAGCGAGGGATATGCATCTACACTAATCTTCACACAGGCAAAAGAAGTATGGGGCTGGGTACTGAGCAAGCGTGAAATGGGTAATGGCATGAACTACCGGTACTGTTTTCAGCCCCAGCCTTGGCTGGTCTTATACTAGTTTACACTTTCGGGATCCACATGCCCACACTGATTCGGGGGATAATCACACACCTCCTGTATTTTAGGAGAGGGGGTGGGAAACCTGCTAGGTACCATGCATAGTATCTGCAAATGTCTTACTGAGAGAACTTCCTACTAAGCAAATGACTTTAAATTCTCAAAACGTTAAAACTTACGTGTTTATGAGGAAAATGACTCAAGTAACCAAGAAGTACTGGCCTTCATTGCATGATCATCCTGAGGTCAGTATCTCAGTTCTCTTGGGGTCTCTGAAATCTAGTTTCCTCCAGAAGTCTTACGTCTTAGAAGTTTGATATTCACTTATCCCTTTGCTGCCTGCTCTGTCCCCATCCCTGTTAGGGAATTAGCGGTCACCTTTAGATGGCTCTTTGGGACATGGGGGGATTATATTTGTCTACCTGGAATGAACCTGACTTTAGGCTCCCTTCTAACCACCGTAAACTTCTGTATAACATCACAGGAGCACTGTTTTTCTGTTCTGGCAGCCACATGATGCATTTACTTTCTTCCCTGCCTGCAGGGTAAATTAGCCCTCCTTTCCTTGACCACTGGAGGTACAGCTGAGATGTACACAAAAGCAGGTGTCAGTGGAGATTTCCGGTACTTCCTATGGCCACTCCAGGTAAACAGGCCTTGTGGGCCTTCTCTGCTTTCCTGACACGCTGAACTCTCCCCCTCTCCACTGCACCTTACACACACACACACACCATGTAAGCTTGGCACTCCATTTGACTCCCAACTAGAAAGAGAAAATAATAACATTTTATCCTTATTTTATTTTTTTAAATCAGTAGCAGTTTAAAGGCTGGCTAAGAAGACATACAAACAGTTTTTATAATGCTTGACCCAAAGTAAAGCCAAACCTGGTTATCCTGTTGTATGCTTTATGAGGATTGTAATAGCCCTGAGGTAGCACCAGGTATGTGGGTATAAATGATGAGCAACACCAAGGCCTGGAGTGCCCTCCCCGGACTTACAATGCTCTATGAAGCTAGCATCACCATTAGCCTTGGTTAGAGGTACTGTAGACCCCGTGATCTGAACGGCTTCACTTGGGCCTCTAACACCCTAGACAGAAGAGTGACTAAAGAACAGCCATCTGCTTGAGGGGAAGGGCGATGGCAGAGTGAGTTCCAGCAGTCTAGGATATCCATATGTATGGAACTCCCCAGTGAGGGAAAGAGAACAAGAGGCAGACTTCAGCGCAAAGACTCCTAGGAGACCTGGGAAGCTAAATGGATGTGCTCTTCCATATGGTGAGGAGAGATACCTGTCTAGGTGTGAGGAAGGCTGGTACCTAATAGCTGGAGTGATTGCTTTGGCGAATGTAGACATTATGGACACAAGATGCAGGTATGAGTCTGTGGTAGAACAAGTACTGAGTGTACACAAAGCCTTGAGTTTGAGCTCCAGCTCCCCATAAGCTAGTTGTGGTAGTGCATACCCATAATCACCACTTGGGAGGTGGAGGCGGGAGGACCAGAAGTTCAGGGTCATCCTCAGCTACACAAGTTTGAAGCCCACCAGAGATATAAGAGTCCTTGTCTCAAAATAATAAATGAATAAATACAAGGAATTGTCCCTTTTCTTTCTAGGTTCAGAATCTTACTCTGTTTCTATTGAGATGTTAGCATTTTTAACTGATTTGTCAGCTCTCTGTGTTAGTGAATTATCCTATTATATGTTTGCAAAACAGTAAGAGTTTCTTTTATATGGATATAGTTAAGTTCACTCCTTGTCTTTGTTGTTTGCTCTCGAGTGAGTTACAGATATGTATATGTGTGTGCGAATGCACTTGCCCATGCATATGTGAATGCTACAGGTCAATTTCAAGTATCTTCCTTAATCACTTTCCACCTTATTTTTTGAGGTGACATCTCTCACTGTTCCTGGTGCTTGCTGATTTGGCTAGCCTGGGTGGCCAGTGAGCCCTGGGATCTGCCTGTCTTTGTCCCTCTCCCCACGTATACTGGGGTTACAGATCCATGCTGCCACACCCAGCTTTTTTGATTGCTAGGGTCCAGAACTCAGGGCCTTATCCTTGCACAGCAAGCATTTAACCATCCCTGTACCGTCTCCCTAGCCCACTGTTATCCTTTTAAATTCAGTCACCTAAAAGTTTCTTTTGTATTTGTGACAGCTACTGTTCTCTCCCTGTTCCCTATTTCCACCTAGTCCATTTGTTGAGTTCTTCTACTGATATAATTGATGTTTTAAAATTTAATTTATTTTTTAAATTACACTATTTGTTGCAGCAGAGGAGAGATGTCCATGCCACAGCATCCCCATGGAGATCAGAGGACAACTTTCAGAAGTTGGTTCTCTTCTTCTACCACGTGGGTCCTAAGGATCAAACTTAGGTCATCACAGACTTGGCAGCCTGTACCCTTAGCCACTGAAACATTTCACCAACCCCAGAAATTATTTTTATAAAAATTTATTTTATGTGTTTTATGTGTTTAGTTTTATGTGTGTTTTGCCTGCATGCATGTGTGCAACTCACATGTATGCAGTGCCCACTGAGAACAGAAGGGAGTATTTGAACCTCTAGGACTGGAGTTACTTACAGAGAGGTGTGAACTACCTTGCGGGTCCAGTAACCAAACTCTGGTTACCAACAAGAGCAGAAAGTGCTCAACTGTTGGGCTATTTCTCCAGCCTCCAATAGTGGATTTGAAAGAGCTGATTTCCAATAAATGAAATCATGTTATCTGAAGAAAGTAACGTAAAAACATGTATGTATGTTTTTGTCCTCTAGCTCCACCTCTAAGTAATGCTTGGATGAGGGTGTAAGTTTTGAAGAGCATCATGCAGACAACGAAGTGTGACATTTCCAGGGAGAAGCTAGGCTCTTTTTGAAAGATGATTACGATTAGTGGATTAGTGCTGATCCATTAAGGGCAATTGCAAGCTGTAAGCATCCTTCTCTGAAGGCTAGCCATTCTCATACATATCACTGACTAAAAATATGTACTTTACCCCAGTTTACAACAACATGTAGTAGAAGAAAATGTAAACAATATAAAATATTTTTAAAGTCCACTTAATCTACACCTCCAGAAAGAATTACTTGTAATTTATTTCTTAGTGGCCTAGATAGATCCTTACATAAAAATGTTTACTACTTGTTTATTATTGTTGTACATAAACGGTACAAGAAATACTGCTTAAAATTTGTTTCAATTAACAAGTAGGATCAACAACTTTCTACAGCAGTACATCATAGCTAAAATAACCTCTCGGTACATAGCATTCAAAGTAGCAGAATTTGACAAATCCATCAAAACTGTAATGTTTAGTGATGGTCTCATCAGTTAAGATCTGTCTTAAATTCCAGCTGCCAGGTCTTCTGCTTATAAGGCACTCTGTCTTGCAGCTCTCCAGAAATGGGTTGTTTTCAGTTACTTTGTAGCATCTATTTCATGATTTTTGAAGGCTTCTTCACATCATTTCCTCTGTTTAGTAATTTAACTGAGTGTACATAAAGAGCATCGTTATGATCAGTTCTTTCCTTTCTGTCTTCAGCATGGTACACTGCACTTCTGTGGATTTAAAGTCCTTGCCCCACAGATCAGTTTTGGTATTGACATTTCATCAGAAGAAGAAAGAAAAGTGATGGTGGAATCATGGGCCCAGCGGCTGAAGAACATCTGGAAGGAAGAGCCTATCCACTGCACACCACCTTGGTACTTCCAAGAGTAACATTTTGTGCTCTGAGTACAGCTAACAAGCAGCACAGTGAGAGACCTAAAGCATGAGCAAAGAGAGGTGGTGCTGTGTCCAGAAATGTAGTTCCCAGTGCCCACCAATGAGTGTCCTCAGTTACATGCAATTAGATCAGATATTTCAATAATCAGCTTGGTGCACTGTATTCATTCTGCCTGGTCATTATTCACTCATTCTTCATTTCTTTAATATTCCCCTAAAATCTCTCATTATTCTCAACCTTCATATATAGTTTTCTAAACATGGAGGTAGATTTGTTTGTTGTTTCATTTTGTTTAACTTGACTGTTTCCCCCCACACACAAGAAAGATGAACCCATTTATACTAATGTTTTAGTGCTAAATTTTTAAAAGTTTTTGCTAAATTTTTATTTATCTCTGTCTCTTTTTTGCCTTGGGGGTTATTATGATGTTTTAATTGAGTAGCAGTCTAACTTTTTATTATTAAATATATACAGTAAGGGTTTTTTATCATTTAGTACATCAAAGCCTTTGATAGTATTCTATCACTGTTCACAGAGTGTTATATGAATAACAGTTAATAGTGACCCTGAAAAGTAGGCATAAATATATGAAGACATTTCCTACCCCTCATTGTCATCACTACTGAAGACAAAAGGACTGAAAAAGTAGGTAATCTGATCTAGACCTTAAGAGAAAAATGAAGATATTTCAAAAATTAAAAAATATAGTTTTCAATGACTGTACATTAATAAAGAAATTTCTTTAAATTATGTATCTTTTTAGAAGGACAGTAATGCAAGAAAAAAGAAAGGCCAAAATGCAGTGGACATGGGGAACAAGGACAGTGGGGAAAGTGATGGCTCTAAGCAAATGATGAATATGAAATAATAATCTGGTCCAATTCACAGTGTGGCGGCTGGGGAGGAGAAAGAGTTTATTTTAGCTTATGGCTCCAGAGAGAGGAAAAAGAGTCTATAATGGCGAGAAAAGGCACGGAATGCCTGAAGGAGATGGTTAATCACAGACACATGCAGGAAGTAAAGAAAGCAAGCAGAAAGGGGACAAGACTATAAACCCTCATAGAAAGTTTGAACCTACAAAAAGATTCCATAACTTTCCAAACAGTACCACCAACTGGGGAGCAAGTTTTCAAATATATGAGCCCATGGGGAGATTTCACATCCAAACCACCACACCCATCAGAATACAGTAAGTGGCTACCATAAAGACCATGAAGAGTGACTTCTTTTCCTTTTAAGTTTATTCAACACAAAGCAATCTCCAGCTTCACTGAGGTAGCTGGGGATGTCCATGAACAAAGCTGCCTCTAAACTGGAATTCATTTGCTGAGCCAGCCCCAGCCTCAGATTTCTTGTCAGCCCCGGAGGGTACAGCACTCCTGTGGGTGCCTCTGTCTGTCTCCTCTCCTGTGAATCTTGAAGGTTGCTTACCCTCTAGAGTCTAGAGAACCCAGTAGTTCTCAACCTTTGGCAAACCTCTATCTAGAAAAATATTTACATTATAATTCATAACAGTAACAAAAGTATGGTTATAAAGTAGCAATGAATACAATTTTACAGTTGGGGGTCATGAGAGCCATGTGGACATATGCAGTCTGTGCCACTGCCTGATGCCTTGGTGATGTCCTTGGGCTTTGTTGCCTCAGGGCACCATGCTGATGTAAGGGACACTGAGGACCATGAGTGGGTCAGTGGTCCTAAAAAAGCCAAGGACCGTGTTGATGTCTATGGTCCATTTTACCACTGAAGCTCATGTGGATGGCCATGGTTTGAGCTGCTGCCTGCAAGTCATGCTAACATTTATGTGTGCAGAAGGCCCGGCCCCACCACTCAATAGCACATCTGCACTCACACATGTGTATACATACATACATACATGCTAAATAAATAAAATAAACCCCAGTTCTGCTTCAGACTGGCCAGTCCTGAAATTATATTTTTGTGTCAAAGCCAAAAATCCTACTTTGGCCTGAGCTGAGATCCCTTGAAAGATTAAGGAAACTCCTTGGACAGTAGACTAATGCAATAGAACAGAAGATCCTGAAATAAGCCCAAGCGACTACAGCCACTTGATGCTGGACAAAGAAAAAGAGGGAAATTCAGCCTCTGATATCCATGTGTAGAAGAACAAAACTGTATCTTCATCTCTCACCATGCAGCTTAAATTGTATTAAAGACCTGAAACTATGGAACTACTAAGAGAAACTATCAAGATAAAGGCATAGAGACTGGAGAGATGGTTCAGCAGTTCGGAGCTAGTACTGCTCTTAGGGAGGACCCAAGCTCACTTCCTAGCACCCATTTTTGCAGGTCACAGCCACCTGTAAACCACTGTACCTTCTGCTCCAGGAGATCCAACCCCTCTGCCCTCCACAGACACCTGCACACATACCCACACTTTAACTCTTAAAGAATTTAGACATAACAGCTTTGTGAATAAGATTCCAACAGCTCCAGAAATGACAAGATGTGGATTCCAAAAACCGGACTTGTGCCATTTATCTGATAAGGCCACTTGGTCCATGATGTGCCTCAGGCTACAAAAGAGCTCCCCAGAGCAATCAAGTGTGACTGACATTCCTAAATACTTGGGGCTGTGCATCTGCTGCCCTCTGGTGTCAGTCTGAAGGGAGCTTCAGGTTCATCTACTATGGGCTAAAGAGGGCACAGCAGGGCTGCAAAGCCCAGCTCCCTATAGGATAAGTCTTACTTCCTGAGGCACCTGTACACATTTAAGTAATGGGTTTCCTTTTTGCAGCTGTATGTCCTGGCATTCAATCTTTCCTCTACCTCTGAGACAGCAACCACAACTGGGCCTTTGGTGATCAATGATATTTATTAAAAGCTAGTTCTAATCAGAGAAATGAAACCAAAACTGAAAATAAGATGATGCCCCCAAAATAATCAAAATCCACACCTCAGAAAAAAGTTAATAGCTACCTGATAGTGCCTTCTAAGGAAATGCTCCAAAATTTGACCAATTGAATCCTTTTGGATAGAGCCAAAGGCAAGCCTTGTACACAGTTCCCTATGTCAAATGACACCTAGGCCAGTGGTTCTCAACCCTTTATGAGGGTCAAACAACCCTTTTACCAAGATTACCTAAGATAACTGGAAAACACAGATATCTACATTACAATCCATAATAGTAGCAAAATTACAGTTATGAAGTAGAAATGAAAATAATTTAATGGTTGGGATCACCACAACATGAGGAACTATGTTAAAAGGTTGCAGCATTAGGAAAGTTGAGAACCACTGCCCTAAGCAATTTAGTGAGAAATAGTCCAATATCAGACCCTAAACAAAGTACAGCTAAAGGGTAGGGAACACAGGTGGGAAAAAAAACTGATTGATCAAGGAAGAAAATCTGTTCTACTTAGAGGATGAAATTGAAGAATTGAGGAGCATCAGACTTTCACCACAAGAAACTTCCTCCTCAAATTTTCTACCACAATTTGAACCTGCCACAATAAAAAAAATCAGAAACTGTAGGTATTGAATTATAGGGAAAACATATTTCATATATTTTGTCCTTACACTGAGAAGAGATTCGTTTTTAGTAACTGGTACTTAATTTTCTCTCAAGAACATTTAAAGTGCTATTTACCCGTGGGGGTAATTTCTAACCAGTTCTTTCCCTACCTTTGTTACTTCCAGAGGGAGCTGTAAGTTCAGCATGGGACTCAGGCCAGTCCAAGAATGCCGTACTTCTGTGACTCTAGCTTCTGAGGCTGCATCATAACAAAGGAAAAAGCAATAGCATCAGGGTGAGACCAGAGGCCACAGACTTCTGAAAAGAAAAGCCATTCACCACATGTCTCTTGGTATTTTGAGCAATATTCAACACATTGAATTAGCTACTAAAACATACAGAGTTGTCTAGAAACAGTACAACTGTCAGTTATAAGTGCACTGCCTGCCAGCTACCCATCTACATTAATACATACTCTAAAAGCAAGTAGAAAATTAGTATCCTTCATTTGGTGAGGATTCTGGAGGGACAGAAAGAAAAGACCCTAAGTGAGTTCCAGCACATGTGGGATCTGCTATGTGGAATAAGGATCTCTAAGGAGCCTTCCCAGCCACCAACCTGGACCTAAACAAACCTAACTTCAGCCACTTTCTCTGTAGATAAGCCTAATGACACCTTTGTTCTTCTGGGTCAGAGGAGTGAGCAGACATACCACAACCCTTACACCCCCTGGCCCCTGAGCCTTTTCAGAATGCTGCCTGCCTGCACTTCCCATGGTGGCCTATTACTTTCCTTACCACTCTAGACCAGTACCAGTCTTAGCAAACCTACTGTTGGCTAAGCCACACATTCTTCAGCCTACAGGATACTTGAGCTAGGGTGTATTCACTATATATCCTGTCCAACACATCAAAATGCTTTACTCAGGAAATAATGGCTTGATGTCTCAAGTATTTAAACAAGTGATTGTGCTTGTTGTCCCTTGTGTCAAGTTAAAGCAATCTTTTGCTTTCTCCCTGCTCCCCTCCCCCGCTTTTGTACTGGGGTATAAAAGCATATGGAAAATAAACATCGGCGGATTCAGTATTCACTGAGTTGCCCTCCCAGTACTATCCTATGTCTCCGTATTTCTTTTGTATCTCTGTCTATTCTGCCTAACATCTCTAATCCATGCACCCCTACCCTGAAACGTAAGAACCCAACATGCAAATCAAAACAACTCTGAGATTCCATCTTACACCTGCCAGAATAGCTGTAGGTTTGCTTTCCATTCTTGTCTATTTTTCAAAGGAAGCGCAGTCTCAAAGAGTAAACTGGAGTCCCTGGAGTCCCACAACAGCGTCTAGTCTTTCTTTCTATAAACTCTAGATTAGCTGGATTAAGAACCAAATAAATTGTTCCTTGGATTTTCTTTCAATCACCAGTTGTGGTTTGAATGAAAATGGTCCCCAGAGGCCCTTAAGGAGTAGCACTATTAGGAGGTGTGGCCTTGTTGGAGGAAGTAAGTCACTGGGAATGGGCTTTGATGTTTCAGAAGGTCAAGCCAGTCCCAGTGTCTCTCTTTTCCTGCTACCTGACAATTCAGATGTAGAACTCTTAGCTACCTCTCCAGCTCAGTGTCTGCCTGCATACTGCTATGCTTCCCACCATGATAACGTAAGCCAACCCCAATTAAATATTTCCTTATAAGAGCTGCCATGGTCATGACTATAGAAATTCTGCAGTCACAAATGGAGCCCACAAAAACTGAAACCTTGAAGACGTAAAACTTTTCAATTTGACAAGGGCTTGAACCAAATCTTCCTGCTTTCCTCTTTCTTCCTCTATCTTAGCTCCAGACAGGGTGAACTTATGGAAGCAAGTGACAGTAGGCAGCAAAAGCCCCAGTTTTCTGCATGCAGACTGGAAATATAAGTCTCCTAGAAGCAGAAAGTACTAGGTAAACCACCAGGAGGAAGAAAAACAAGCAGAGGAAAGCAGCACTATAAAGTTTATATTGATATCTAGGATCGTTTCAGAGCTTCATCTGTATGGAACTGACCTAAATCAGCATGCCAAAGACACTGAGAACTAAACTAAACTAAAAAAAAAAAGAAGAAGAAAAAAAAGTAGTATTTGGGGCACTGAATAAATATGCCCATGGAAAACAAAGATCAAACCTGTGTGGCCTGACACTCACCATGTTGGTAGCTAGATAAACAAAACAAACAGCATTCCTTATAGATATTGACTAGCACCCAGCCCTACCTAACAACCCAAAGAATCCATAATGAAATCCAAAATCATTTGGCTTTCAAAGTGCCAGTAAGTCTCAACCTGCATGGGAAGGAACAAATCAAAGATTCCAACCCAGATATTAAGTAGATATTACTCATCTCTGAACAGTAGTTCTGGGTCTTCTCTTCTGATATTTGTACAGAAGAGTATACTCATAGATAGACTTTAAAACAAAAACTTTACAATACATTCATTGTAGCAGTTATAAAAGTGCGACAATAAAAGATCTTTGTCCTTGTAAGATGTGACTTAAACAATAGCTTAGCAAAATGTGTGAAGATGAATGGTGTAGGAGGTCCTTCTTTGTGTTGCATTCATTGGTTAATAAATGAATTAACTGCTTTGGGCCTGTTAGGGCAGAACTTAGGTAGGCAGAGAAGACAGAACTGAATTCTGGGAGGAAGAAAGGCGGATAGGGGAGAACCACCATGGAGCCACCAGAGTCAGACATTCTGAATCTTTCCCATGTGGTGATATACAGATTAATAGAAATGGGTTAAATCAAGATATGAGCGTAAGCCAATAAGAGGCTAGAGATAATGGGCCAAGCAGTGATTTAATTAATACAATTTCTGTGTGGTTATTTCGGGGCTAGCCAGGCACCGGAAAGAACAAGCAGCCCCTCCCTACAACAGATAAAGCATAAGATAAAGACAACGTGAGCGTAGCAAAATGTCCACAACTTTGAGCAGGGTATTTATTAACCGCACTATTTCTGAAACAAGCCTTAGGAAGTTCTCCACAATTTTATGGTCTCTCTTTTCATCCCAGTCCCGGGTTACCATAGATCTTTCTGTAATGCCCAATAAATAAAATATTAATACTATACAATTTTCCATCTTTTGTGTCTGGCTTCTTTTGGTTAGCAGAGTGCTCCTGAGAGTCATGCATGTTAAATGTATTAGTGGAATCAATAGGTTTGAAAATGTTGGAATTTTAAACATAAAATTATTGAAAAATATCATGAGCCAACTGGATCCAATTGACAGTTATGGAACACTCTACCCAGCAAAACAGAATTACCCAGTTTCCAGGTTCTGCCTCTCTGGAGTGCCCAGACCAATGCATGCCATGACAGGCATCCATGTAGTCAGATGAAATGGTTTCAGTCTGTTAAGAAAAAAAAAAAAATCCCCTGTGCTTTCCTTATATATCCCTCTTCATTGTAAACTCTTGGCAGCCACTGGCCTTACAGAATCTCCATAGCTTTCCCTCATTGAGGATGTCATATTTGCAATCATATTGTGTAGGTTTTTTTTTAAAGACTGACTTCTCTTACTTAGAGATATACAAAAAACACCCCGAATTCCTTCATTCTAGAATTCATTCTAGTGCCAAGTAGTATTCCATTTACTATAGCTATTGAAAAGTAACTCATTTGCTTCCAAGTTTGGGCAATTATGAAAAGCTGCTGCAAAAATTCAGATACAGGGCTGGGAGAGATGGTTCAGAGGTTGGTCCTGCAAAGGACTTGTCATCCATAACTCCAGTTCCAGGAGATCCGATGCCCTCCTCTGACCTGCATGGGCACCAGGCACTAAAGCAATGCACAAACATGCCATCAAAACACTCATACATATAAAATAAACCTTTGAAAATTAATTCAGATACAGGGGCTAGAGATACGAGTCGGTTGCTAAAAAGCACTACTGCTCTCACGGAGGACCTGCTTAGTTCGCAGACCTACATTGGACAGCTCACCTCTAACTCCAGCTCCAGGGGACCTGTTGCCTTTCTATGGCCTCCGGGGGAATCTACACTCACGTATACATACTCAAAAAAAAAAAAAAAACTTAAAAGAAAAACCAAACCACAACTTCGGTACAGGAATCTGGGGAATACAGTTCCTTCAGCAAGCATGCAAACATAATGAACCTGAAATTAATTCCCAGAACCCGTGTAAAAAACCTGACCATGGCGACACTCCTGAAGCCAATGCCAGAGATGCAAAACCACGCAGGTTTCTGGGCTCACTAGTCAGCTAGCTTAGCCTACTCCACAAGCTAAAAGTGAGGCCTTAAAAAGCGCATGGTAGAGAGCTACTGAAGTGGACTTACAACCTTCACATGTGTGCAGCTTTGCGTGCGCGCACACCCTCAAATAAACAAAAATAAAAATAAAAACAACTTAGGTCCATGTGTCTGCACATTAGACTTATGTTCACGTGGGTACTACCAGTGTGTGAAACTGCTAAGTCATACAGTAACCCTAAAGATAATGTTTTGCATTCCTTCCATTTGTGAATGTTGGGAATTTTGGACATTTTATAAGTATTTTACATCAAAGCTGAGTTTCCCATAATGCCCTATGACACTGAGTATCTTTTTAATGCTTATCTGCATGGCGAGGTATCTGTTAAAAGGGCTGTGATTTTCTTAGGGTGGTGATTGTGTATGCTTCAGTAAGACTTCTTTGTGTCTTTTGTAGTCCTCTCTCGACTATCTTTTGACAATAAGTGATCGTTGTATTATGGTGCAACTGCTTAATGACACCATTAGTGACACTTATTTTTTTTTTCTTGAGATTTCACAATTACCATTTTAGAGGGCTACAAAAATAATCACATTTCTTCCTCGACAGCCCGCCGTGGCAGAGGAATGATATAGCCAGCTCTCGATCGCCGAGGTCGCACACGGTGCTTTCCTGCGGGCCAGGCTGACTCCGCCCTGACAGCAGCTATGGACACCTCTTGACAGGCTCTGTCAGAATCACCCGGAAAGCAAGGCGAATCCAGGATCGTCAAGCGAACGCGACCGCGGCCCGCCAGTTCCCGCTCACGTTCACCGCCCCGGGGCGTGAGCAGAGGCGGAGACAGAGGCCGACACAGCCTAGCGCCGCCCAGTGTAAGGAGCGCCGGTCGAGGAGGACGCGCAGCTCCCGGAGCGGTGTCAGGAGCGCAGGTGTCGGGAGCGCGGGTGTACACCGGTGCCGCTCACCTCCCGGGGGTCGAACCGCTGTGCGGAGCCTCGGAAGAGCGCGGTGTTCGCAGCGCCAGGCCGCGGGGAGCCCGGGCGTGGCTGGGCGCCGCTGCAGCGCCCAACTCGATCGCATCCTCGGCGGGGCCCGGTGCCATCCTGGCCCGGCAGCCACGGCGAGGCGCAGCCCCTGGCGCCCACCGCCCGTCCTTCCTCACCTGGGCCGGGGTGCTCGGCCGCGGAAAACGAAAGTAACTCTGGGGTTGACGCTGCGGTAAGTGGGCGCGGAGGCAGAGGCCGGGACCGCGGCTTGTTTCCTCAACAGCCGGCCCCCCGGAAGGGGCGGGCCCGCACGGTTCTAGTGCGTGGGCCAGGGGGCGGGGCTCGTTTCCGGAAGCGAGGTGGTGAGCGGGGCCGCCAGCGCACCCGGAAGTCGGAAGGCGCGGGTCTTGCCGTCTAGAGGGAGGTTGGACCCTTTTTTCCCCTTTTTGATATAGTTTTAGCTCAAGTCGCGACAGAAAGTGGACATCTGCGCCGTGGTCACGGCTATGGTGGGGGCAGTACGACAGGTGTTTCTCTTACTATTCTTTTGGTAAGGGCGATGGGTTGTTGAAGTGGTAGTGATCCAGCAAGGTTACGTGAATGTTCCTGGATCTACCAACCCTTCACAGGGTCGATTGCTGTTGTACTTGGGGTAGCAGGAAGTTGCAGAGCAATCAGTAGCTTTCATCATTAACGTAGAAGTGAGCTAGCAAATGAGGAGTGATCCACGACCTCAGCGAGAGAACGGGGTCAAACGTCCATGGCTTCTCCGGACTTTTATGGATTGCTGCAGACCCTCTCTGGGTTATGAAGAAGCTACGCCACCTCCTCTTCACCTTAAGTGTTGGACAGAGCCTCCTGAGGATGGATGGTGCGGTCCAGGGTGGCTCACTCTTTGTCTCTTGCAGGTCATCTGATTTCTTGCATATTTATTTGGGGCAGAGTGAAGCTGCTTTATTCAAGAAATTCCACAAAAGCCCTTCACTCTGTATCAAGCTGTTAATTCTTTCTTAACACACGAAAACTCATTGGCAGTGTGAACGTTGAGATGTAATAACTTGGTCATGTAATTTTGTCGCCACTGGAAAGACCCTGCTGAGGCTCTGTTGTATACTGAAAATAAAGACTAGTCTTGTTTAGAATGAAATTTTATTTTGTACTGTTGGCAAAGCAGCAGTAATGATTATCAACTTTAATTTTCATTTTTCTCTTTCTTTCCTGTTTTGACCCTCATACATAATGTTAAGCCTTCAGGACTGTATTAAGAAAGATGCCTAAGGTAACAACTTACAAACTAGGCATGGTACCGCTACTTATTAATTCATGATATGTTGATACCACCCGAAGAATCTGGGAATTGAATCAAAAGTGTAGTAGCTTCCCACACTTTGGACAGTATTCTGGCAAGTGGGTCTTACAATAAAAGCATGGATAATATTGATTTTATTTATTTTTCTTTTTTTCAAGACTGGGTTTCTCTTTGTAGCCCTGACTGTCCTGGTGCTCACTCTTTAGACCAGGTTGGCCTCAGACTCAGAACTCAGAGATCTGCCTGCCTCTGCCTCCTCAGTGCTGGCATTAAAGGCATGCTCCGCACCACTCCAGCTGAGACAGGGTCTCTATGTAGCTCTAACTGTCCTGAAGCTAACTATGTAGAAGTCCAGGCTGGCTTTGAATTCCCAGAAGTTCACCTGCCTCTGCCTCCTTGGTGCTGGTATTAAAGGCATGTATCACTGTGCCTGGTGACAATTTGGTCTTTGCATCTGGGGTTTTCAAAAGATAAATGATTATTTGCCTTTCTAGAAAGGTAGCATATATCAGAGAACTGAGAGCGGAAGTTTAGAGAATCCGTTCATTGCCAGTGAGTCGTTTAACCTCAGCTTTTAGTTTCTTTATTTGTAAATTGAAAATAGTCCCAATAAAGGTTAATTCATGGGTCATAATGTGCTCATGTATGCTTCGTTAAATTTTATTCCATCTTCACCTTTTGTTGGTAGTTTGATTCCTCGTCCATTGCCCTGTTTATAGACAAAGCACAGGCTGTTTTAATTAAAGAACCTTGAGCTTGCTTCTGATCAAATACCTGAGTAAGCCGGGTGGTGGTGGCGCATGCCTTTAATCCCAGCACTCAGGAGGCAGAGGCAGGCAGATCTCTGGGAGTTAGAGGCCAGCCTGGTCTACAAGAGCTAGTATAGGGGCGGGCACCAAAGCTACAGAGAAACCCTGTCCCAAAAAAAAAAAAACAAAAAACAAAAAAAAAAAAAACCAAATACCTGAGTAAAGACAGAATTCTGTTAGGAAAGAAGCGGGACACAATACGCAATTAGCATTCTCTCATTCTCTGTTCTCCTGCACTTATACGTGATTGTCATTGAGAAATTAAGAGAAAATTAAGTGGGTTTAAAGGGAGTCCACCCACTAAAGGGTGTGTGTGTGTGTATTTTTTTTCCTCCTGAAACATGGTGTAGTCCTGACTGGTCTGGAACTCACTAAGAAAGCTTGAACTCAAACAGTATTATATGTATATAATGTAGACCTATTTTGCTAGGGTTAATTTTGAAATTTCTTGGAATCTCTGATTTGTTTTAGTGGGAAGTTTTCACTCCCTATGGTTCTGCATTAATAATCATTTATCCCAAAATCCCATTCAAAAGAACATGATCTTAGTTGAAATTAGTTATGGCTTTCTAAAACAGGTCAACATGCCTTAGTTAACTCTTTAAAACATTGTTTGATCATCTGACTTTCTACCTTCATTCAGTGTTTTTGCAGTCCTTGGGTCTGCCTCAGTAAACTGTCCGCATGGCTCTCTCAAAATACACTGCTCATAAATTGGATGGGGCTCATCGGTATAGCACTTGACTGGCGTGTGTGCGGCCCTGGGTTCTGTCTCCAACACTGCCAGAAGATAGCAGCATACATAAAAACACTAAAGAAACTATTGAAAATCTGCCAAAAAGAGAGTCTGTGATAAGATCAGACTAGACTAATAAAACTCAAGATTAGAGGAAACCCTAACTTGGGTCCAGGGCCACGCTCCCTATGGATAGTAGAGGCCTTCCCTAGCTCCACACCGCTGGAGGCTGTACAGAGAAATTTCAGGAGGCCTAGCTAGGCCAGGGAGATAGCAGTGAGAACTTAAAAGGTTGAAATCATACACTTGAATTGGTGCATTTCAGGACATGACTGTAGTTTATTTGCTTTAGGCGTGCGTGCGTGTGTGTTTATTCAGTTTTTCTAGATAGGGTTTCTCTGTGTAGCCCTGTCTGTCCTGGAGCTCACTATATAGACCAGGCTGTCCTAGAACTCAAGAAATCCGCCTGCCTCTGCTTCCTGAGTGCTGGGATTAAATATATACACCACCACCAACCACCACCTGGCAAGAATTTTTTATGGTTTATCTATTTCTTTCTTCTTCTTCTTCTTTTTAAGCCTACGGCCCAGTATTCCTAGGTGGTCTCTCATCCAAGTGCCAGGCAATCCCTTTTTGTGTGTTCTTAAATGTTCCTTTTTTCCATGTGTATAAATGGTTTGCCTACATGTATGTATGTGCACCATTTGTGTACTTAGTAACTGTGAAGACTCAAATTCCCTTGAAGTGAAGTTTCAGGTGGCCTATGTATTGCCATGTGTGTGCTGAGAATAAAAACCAGGTCTCCTGCAAAAGTAGCAAGGACTCTTAATCACTAAGTCATTGCTCCACCACCACCCAAACTTTTTTTTTTTTCTTTTCTGAGACAGGATCTCACTGTGTAGCCCTAACTGGTCTGGAACTCACTAAGTAAGTTTGAATTCAAATGATCTCTCCTGCCTCTGTCTGCATGAGTTCTGGGATTAACAAGCACACCACCCACACCCATAAAACATTTTCATCCCGCATCACCTTTGAAAACTGTTAGCTGTATTTCAGAGAGGGAAGGGGTTCTAACAGCTCTTCTGTGCACACAAAAGGTAGCACATGCCTTCGTTGTTCTGTGTAAAGCTACTAGGAACATCACTGTGCGTAGCTTTGCCCATGGCTCAGGTTTGACTGATTCTTTCAAAACATAATTTTCTTATGAATAATATGTGTTTTTATAGAAAGCATAATTTTAAAAGGTATAAAAAAGAACCAGGCATGGTGAGCTATAATCTAACACTCCAGAAGCTGAGGCAAGAGGATCACAAATCTCAAGCCAGCTTAGGCACACAGCAAGACACTGACTTAACAAAAGTATACAGAAGAAAGCAAACATTTCCCCTACAGTGTAAATAAAATGTTGGTGAATATTTCTTATCATTCCCTATGCCTTTTATTCTTTACTAAATTGTCATATAGTTTATTTTATAAATGCTTTAAAATCTATTTAACTATATCCTTTATTCTTTAACAACTAAATAGTTCTTTAAAAATTTTTTAGCAGCTTAACAATTGTTTACCTCATGTTTGATTCTGCTAGGCACTAGGGACAGCGGCCAAACAAGTTCTTTGCTATTGTTGTTTCGGCTTTTTGCTTTTGTTTTTGTTTTTTGCCTGTGTAAACTTCATTAGAAACAATTTTTAAAACAGCTGTTTGAGAAGAGAAGTCCAAGCTCTGTAAATATCTCACAACAGGAAGTCTTAAGATGGGTCCCCCAGGAAGTGAGAGTACATGGACACCTGGCTGACCGGCAACCTCTAGTCTTTCTGACTAGGGTTTAAAATAATATGGTTGGGAGGGGCTCATGATGGTGTAACCCACGGAACTCGCAGGAGCTCATGGGCACTGGACCAACAGTCAGGAAGCCTGCATGGGACTGACTTAGGCCCTCTGTGTGAGTGACAGTTGTGTAGCTTAGTCTCTTAGTAAGGCTTCTAACAGTGAGAGCAGGACCTCTCCCTTGCTAGATTACGGTTACTTGGCCCTGCCTCAACCCTCAACAACTCGGTCCTGCCTCAATGTGATACACCATGCTTTGAGCAAATCCATGGAGGCCCGTCAGGAGTGGATAGGGAAGAGATAGATGGGAAAGGGGAGGGGAGGAGAGGAGGGAGGGAAAACTGGTTGGTATGTAAAATAAATGAAAAAAAAAAAACATTATTTAACTAAAAAATGGGGAAAAGGGCATGCCGTGAGATGGAGAAGACTAGGCAGGTCCACATGCCCTAGAGCATCTTTAGGAAATGAGGAATCAGGCCTGGAACATACGTTCATGTTTACACCTTCCGTCTTGATTCTCACAGACTGTCAGTGGGACTTGCTGGGTAGTCTTAACTCAGTGTATAAGCCTGAACTCAGCATGTGAGTCAGTAGCACTCTAGGGCTGTGTTTTTCACTTGGAAGAGAACGACGTTGGGGTTAGCAGAGCCCTCGGAAACAGCCTGTACTTCAATGTGAGATGACTGTTGTAGCCCCCACCCATTAAAGACATCATGTTGGAAATGCTTTTTTATTGTTGTTGTTTTTCGAGACAGGGTTTCTCTGTGGCTTTGGAGCCTGTCTTGGAACTAGCTCTGTAGACCAGGCTGGTCTCGAACTCACAGAGATCCGCCTGCCTCTGCCTCCCAAGTGCTGGGATTAAAGGCGTGCGCCACCATCGCCCGGCTTTGGAAATGCTTTTTGTACACTTGGAAATGTACCTGTGAATACAATACAGAGCCCTGGTGTTGACAAACATAAACAGGGGCTAGCTGTAGCCTTAGCCACTAAGCAGGCCAACATATTTTCATGTGTTACTTTCTTATAAATTCCTTGCCAGTCCCAAGATGAATGTGGAACTTGAGACTTAGGTTCCTAAAAGTCACAAGGCAAATGAATGGCTCCTGCTAGCAAGCCTCCAACGCCTTCTTCACTCCTCCTCCTCCTCAGTCTTCATGCCTTCGCCTGGGCAGCTTCCTCTCCTTGCTTCTACCCCCACTGCTGGTCTTCTTGTTTGGCAGTGCCTGAGGTATCAGCTGTGCTGTGATGCTGGTGTCCTCTAGGGAGCTGTACAGTACAGGAGATTCGCTTACTCAAGCACTTGCTGCAGGTCGCTAGACAAGATCACAGGCAGCCCTTGCTTGTAAGATATTATCTAAAAACTTCTCACCTAAAATATCCAAGACCTTTAACACAGTGTTAGGAGGATTCCCATAGCCAGGCCTGGAAACTAGTGGCTCTTCTGTACTTCTTGATATTACTGAATTTCTTACATCTTCACCCAGAATGAGCACTCCACTGTGAACAGAAAGTTTCCTCAGGAATGACAGAATCCCCAGGAAGAATCTTTTCTTCCTTGGGAGATGACCATTGTAGTTCCACTCCTTGTTAAACACCACATGCTGGACATGTTTTATACACTTCTTAGGCCCCCTGGATTTTCTCTTTGGTCACTATTTCACCTTTTAAGTACTCATTAAGAAAGTACTGCAACCCATAAATACTGTTTCCTTATATGTTGCCCTCCTTCCTTTGGAGTTTTCTGTCATCTTTTCACAGCATTTAAAGTGGAAGTAAAGTTTGCTTGTGTTGAACAGACATTGCTTATAGTGAGTAACCTTGTATGAGTGGTGGCCAGGAAGATGTTGAACTCAGCAAAGCTACCACTCTCATCCTGGCACTGCGGGTCCAGTCCCCCCACCAAAGCCCTCTCCTTCAAGTCCTTGTTCTGAGAAACACGGAATGCCACAATTCAGCAGAGATGGACAGATCTCACAAGTCCTCATTCTTTTTCCCATCTTCCTATTCAAAGTGTGTTATTCTCTTTATATTCTTCCAGCCCTAATTTTGCTCATAATTACTTGAAGCATACTTATTTCCTAAAATTATTCAATATACTATTTAGCTGAGGTTCTCATTCAGTGCTAGGTACTGCCATCTGTTATATACACAGGGTCTAGGGAATTTTTGTTATTTATACTTCTGGAAAGGGAGTTTATATTAAAGTAATCATGGGAGAGGACAGATTCTGTCTAGCCTGCCTTGAAGTCTTTTGTTGGCTTTAGCCTAATAATCCGAGGATGTCATCAAACTATGGCCTCTTTGAACATAAACATTCTTAGTTTGGGGAATCCGGCCCTAAAGAAAATGGCCAGGATCCTCTTTATCTCAAAGCCCAAACTTATCAGGTTATGAATTCACCAAGAATCTTTCTAGTACCTCATTCCTAGTCCTAGACACATGTATTCATTTGCTAGCGGTTGTTCTTTATTTTTCTCCCATCCGTCTTTCTGCCAAGAAGTAGTAGGAGGTCCAAGTGACAGGAAGGCCTCATTCCAGCCCTCCTGGATTGCATACCACTTCCACTCCTAACCCAGGGCCACACTGGTCCAGTTGCCACCATGTGAGTTGTTACTTCTTGTCCAGTGTGCAGTCTGCTTTTTGTCCCCAGAGGTTTTCCTTTTCTACTATACTCAACTATGAATTTCAGTGGATGCTCGAATTATGTTATCTAACATGCATGGCTCTTTGTGGCAGAGTGTTTTAAAATTTTCCTAGTGTTCCATGTTGCCAGAAATGAAAGGTCCACTGGAATAAAAATCACAGTCATCTATAACTCTTAGCTGAACAGCTCATGTTACAGATTACACTTATCCTCAATTAAAACAAAGGCACCCCACACACATGGTGCCTCTGTGGGCTTTTTGTCTGAGACAGGACTCACTTAATTGTTCAAGCTGGCCTAGAATTCACTATGGCATACAAGCTAGCCTCAGACCCTCAATCCTCCTGACTCAGCCTCCTAGGTAATGGGATTCCAGGCATGTACCACCATACCAGGCAACATGTGATATTTTTTTTGTTTTTGATTTTTAAGTAATGTTCGTTTAAAGTCATGTCCTGAGATGTCCTCTGTTTCCTTTATAGGGCACAGCACTAAGCAAGAACCAAAAGTGTTACATTAAGCATTCAAAATGGAACCAGACATGTCCTTGGACAACATCAAGATGGCATCTAGTGACCTGCTGGAGAAGAAAGATCTAGACAGTGGAGGCTTTGGGAAGGTGTCCTTGTGTTTCCACAGAACTCATGGATTTGTTATCCTGAAAAAGGTGTACACAGGGCCCAACCGTGCTGAGTGAGTTGGGAACAGAGATGGGTAGACTTCATGCCAACTGCCCACAGAAAATAGTTGTCACCACCTGTGTGGCTAAGCACATGGAATTTTAAATAAGCCTGACCTACTGGGAGACTTGACACACTGGCAATGTGAGGGGTGATCCTAACTCTTACTATTAGGATGAGGACTTTGGGGTTAATGAAAAGATATTAATGCCTGAGACATGTATGGGAAAGACATCACTGAAGACAGAAATCTGGGTAGTAAGGGAGGCAGTGAAGATAAAACAGAGCCATGGATGAAAACACCTAACGTGAAATAGAAAAAAAAGACCATTTCCATCATGAAAAGTCCCAGCAACCTTGTAAAAGGCAGTCACTGGAGGGCTTCTCCCCTCCTAAGACTAGTTTTGAGAATTGTGCCTTTATGGTATTCTCCAGCCCAGTCTCCATCAGACCAGGTCTGTGCTACACAGGTGTGTGTGTATGTTGTGAGCACCTGACTGCCAGTTCCTAAGACAGGGTGGGAGGGAGGGGTCTAAATATGAGGAGAAGCTTCTTTGCCTTCTAGGACCTGACTGCCCAGAGGAGACCGCAACAGACCTGATGGTGATAGATGTCTGCAATGTGGCACACTGCAGGGACGCCGGAGCTTCTTGGGCACCTGGGTAGAAGGTTTTGCTCCTTCCTGCTCAGCGTATTGCCTTTCCTGCCCACAGATACAATGAGGCCCTCTTGGAGGAGGGGAAGATGATGCACAGACTGAGACACAGTCGAGTGGTGAAGCTGTTGGGCATCATCATAGAAGACGGGAATTACTCGCTGGTGATGGAGTTCATGGAGAAGGGCAACCTGATGCATGTGCTGAAGGCCGAGGTGGGTGGCACCGTCCAGCAGTCTGTGCTAGTGTGTCAGGTGGTGGCTACTCTTGGGGCGTTGATTTAGTTTGGATTTCTAAAGTTAGTCCCTCTTCAATCTGTGCCCACTGATAGTTCTGTGTCACCACTTACGGTTCCCTCTTTACCGAACCTCCTCACCTCTCTAATCTACAGTTGACAGATAGACCTATCTTCTACCAAAGAATCTTCTACTTCCTATACATGGTCATGTAAGTGGTAACAAATTTGGGTTGATTGATGAAAATTCATATTATGTTTCAAATGATAGTGATTAAGAAAAGTACATACACTGTTGTTAACTGTAAGAGAAGGTGGAATGTTAGCGACTGTACTTTTAGACCAGTTAAGAAATTACTATAAGATAAACCACAGCAATATAAAATTTAAAAATGGAAAAAAAACTGAATTCATAAAAACTAGATAAGTTTTTTAAATTTCTATACCTATTAGGATCTGAGTCTTGTGCTAGCTCTCCAGGTGTCCATAGCTAATACAACATAGGCAGGTGGAAATGGTGGAAAAAGCAGGTGAGCATATGATGTGATGGTGTTTGATAGGCATGCAGTCACCTGCTGTGGAACATAGGCAAGGAGCCCACCCCAACCTGGACGAGGTGGGAAAGGCTTCCATAGAAGGTCAAGTTGAAGCAGACAACTGGAGGGTAAGCGCTCCAGGCACAGAGAATGCCAGGTGTGAAGGAGATAGAAGATGCCAATTTGTAGAGCTGCCAGTCACCGACTTTTGCCAGCACACAGATTGCATGTGAGGGACTGAAACATATGGCTGCCTTTGTAGCGAATATTTCCCCTCCCTCCGTCTCCCTATACCTTACAACTGCCAAATCAGCCAATCTCTCAGAATTATGAACACCCATGGCAAGGGTAAAAGATAATACACACGCACTGTAGTTTGACCAGATGGTTCTCTTCTTCCACGCCAGGTAAGATCAGCCGTGTGACAGAACTAGGCATTTTGATAGAGATAAGTCATCTATGATGGAAGGCATTCTGTGCTATCAGTCAGTGAGAGGCTGCAACCAACAGAACCCAAGAAAAGTCAAGGACCTAGAGAAGCAAGAAAAGGTTGAGTTGGGGATCATTCATACTTACTAATAAGGCTTTCCTGAAATTATACCAATGAAGACAGTAACAAATCTCTGCTGCTATTTTTAATTAATCAGTTTTTGTAAACAAGGTCCATAGCAATGCTGCTCTCAACTTTTAGGCTGGAGTGATCCTTTTGCCTCAGCCTTCTCAGTATCTGGGACTATAGGTATGTACCACCACACCCAGCCTTCTGCTATCTTCTATATTGTGGTGGTCAAGCTATTGATGCTGTGGTCAGTTATAGCATAATGTGGATAAAGATGGTGTCTTAGTTTGGGTTTCTATTGCTGTGAAGAGACATCATGACCACAGCAACTATTATAAAGGAGAACATTTTAATTGGGGCTGGCTTACAGTTTTAGAGGTTTAGTCCATTATCATGGCAAGAAAGCATGGTGCCATGCAGGCAAATGTGGTGCTAGAGAAGGAGCTGAGAGTTCTACATCTGGATCCTCAGGCGGTAGAAAGAGACTGTGCCACACTGGGCATAGCTTGAGCATATGAGACCTCAAAGCGTGCCCCATAGTGCCACACTTCCTCTAATAAGGCCACACCTCCTAATAGTGCCAATTCTTCTGGGCCATGCATTCAAGCATGTAAGTGTATGGGGTCATTCCTATTCAAACCACCACAGATGGTGTAAAGACTTTGATTTTGTATGACTTGAGAATCTTAAGTTCTACCACCTCGACCTTTTCCTGTGAACCAGCAGCAAACACACATAGACTTTTTGAAATCATTCTTTCTGCAAGCTGGTTCTTGTATTGAGAAAAACTGAAATTTTACCACTAAAAATAGAAATATGTTTTTTTAAATAATGACATTGAAGATATATATATATATATATATATAATTTTTTGAGACAGGGTTTCACTGTAGCTTTGGAGCTTCTCTCCCAAATGCTGGGATATAATTTTCAAGAGTGACCTGAGATTCTACAAATATCTAAAGTGTCTGCTGCCATATCACAAAAAAAAAAAAAAATGGACCCAAGCATCGTTTTAGAATCACGCATGTGACAGAGATGCTTATGTTGCTGTCAGCAAGGTGAACATACTTCCTTGTACTCATTTTCTTTTAGTGTCATTTCACATTCCTATTTCCCTGACATTATTCTTATACTTGATGTAAATAATATTGTCATATCACATTGAGTATGCCATGGAAATGTTTGTGGATTTTGCTGCTCATTCTAATATTCTAGACATCATTTTAGGCATGCAGAGACAATCTTTGTAGGAGTGGTAGAAATAGAAATGATAGTAGTAGTAATAATAATAATAATAAATGTCATTGTTTACAAGGAGCTTGATTTCATGTTTTAAACATGAGTTTTTGTTGCATAATGCACTAGACATAAAGGATATTGTAGAGTGAATATAGTATCAGTAGAGAGAATATAGATACTCTTTTATAAATTATTTTTTTTTAAAAAGTAATTATATCATTTTCCTCTTTCTCTTTTCTCCCTTCAATACTTTCCATGTATTTCCCTCACTTCCCTCAGTTGCTTTCTTTCTAATTTATGGCTTCTTTTCTTTATCTTTCTTTTATTTTTGTATGCATTCCAACCTCAGTTTCCCCTCCTTTCTCACCACCAAGTCCCTCTCCCACATCTCCCCTCTGCCGCCCCCATCCACTCTTCCTCCCTTTCTCTCCAGAAGACGGCAAGCCTCCCATAGATAGCAACCAAACATGGGTATCAAGTTACAGTACAGACTATGTACTTCCCTCATTTTAAGGATGTACAAAGGCAACCCAGTTGGAGGAAAAGGAGCACAAAAGCAAGCAAAAGAGTCAGGGATCCCCTGTTCCCTGATAAGAGTCCCACAAGAAGACAAAGCTGCCGAACTGTAATTGGGTTGATGTCCCAATCCCTCCACTGGAAATCTTGCCTGGTTACAGAAGATAGCCAATTTAGGCTCCATATCTCCCAGTGCTAGGAGTCTTAGCTAGGGCGACCCTCTTAGGTTCCTGGGGGTTTTCATTACATTAGGTTTCTAGTTTGTCCCCGAGATGTCCCCCAAATCCAGTTGTCTTTCTCAGTGCTCTCTCCCTCCATCCTTCCCCTACCTGAGCCCTTCTGTTCCCATCCCCCTTAACTATCCACCAGTGATGTCAGTTCTGTTTCCCCTTCCCAGAGATATCCATGCATCCCCCCACCTTGAGCCCTCCTTATCACTTAGCTTCTCTGGGTCTGTGGATTGCAGCATGATTATCCTTTACTCTACAGCTAATAAACTACTTGTAAGTGAATACGTATGATGTTTCTCTTTTTGCATCTGGGTTACTTAACTCATGATTTTTTTTTCCTAGTTACATCCATTTGCTTGCAAATTTCATGATTTGTTTTTAAGAGCTGAGTCATATTCCACTGTGTAAATGTACCGTAGTGGTACATGCTGGTAGGATTTGTTGAAAGAGGAGGCAGGAATATCAATGACTTCTTCTTCTTACAGTATTTTTATTTGCATCCAGATTGGCACAGAAGTTTTTTTACTTTTTCTGAACAAAATACAGCATTAGTCCCCTGTCAGCCCTGGAGTAGAATCTTCCTTGAAAGGAGCTTGTTTCCCAGGGACAGCAACGCTGCAGACTGCCTGGTGGGAGAAACCCGCTACCACAAACCTTGGGCTCACCTCCCACCGTGTTGGATGGAGTAGTCGCGCTTCCTGTTAGATTACTTCTCTATTTATTATGTTGTTTCAGATCAGTGTCCCACTCTCTGTAAAAGGGAGGATAATTGTGGAGATCATCGAAGGAATGTGCTACTTACATGGCAAAGGTGTTATACACAAGGACCTGAAGCCTGAAAATATCCTTGTTGACCATGACTTTCACATCAAGGTAAGCCACAACTTATGCTTTGAGAAGGCTGAATAATTGCAGTTTTTCATTTTCCATTGGAAATCGATTTCTTTGGGTGGTGATGATAAAGGAGAACCTAGCTCAGCACTGAGCAGGATGGTGCCGCTGCAAGGTTGCCACGGTATGAAAGGGCAGGTGCAGGCTTGACTGGATCAGGAAATAACTAAGAATGAATTGATGTTTTAATAAAATTCTCATCTCTGGTTCCTGGATTTTGTTTCTCTTTTGTTAGACTTGGACATGGCAGTACCCAAGGGTTGCTGTCTTTGTTCTGGAATGAGCTGTCTGCTCATTATTTTTCCCAGGAAATCTTGTGACTGAGACTTCGCTACCCTGGAGATAAAAAGAGGATGAAAGTGTGTAGAAACTATTCTTAGAATTCAGAAATGGCTTAAGAGTCAGAGCAGCAGTAAATCAGCCAGTTTGGCCTCAGAATCCTCCCACTTTGTGTAGCTAGGAGTGTGGTTGAACTAGTCTAGCACATCTAAAGTCTTGGACTCAGTTCTGGCACCCCAAAACAAAGACCTCTGCTTTGACATTTTGCTTATTTCTACTTTCCTTTAAAAAATCAATTTCCTTTTGAAAACACTTTTTGTTAAACAAAGGTAATAAGAAAATGAACACCCGATCTTTCAAGGGCTACTTTTAGCTAAGGGAAGCAGCAGCACATGGCAACGAGAATCCTAGCTGGAGGCTGAGAGGGCACTAGATAGCTCAAGGACAGAGTCCGGGGTGTCATCCCCAGAGCCACACCAACAAGAAACTAAAAGATCTTGAAAATATGTGGCATTGGAAGAACCAGGACATGCCTGTAAGATCTGCATCAGACACCATTTGTGTCTTAGTCGGCTTTTAGTTCCAATGTCTTTTAAGACTGTTCATTCTTTCCATTAGCAACTTACCCCTTATATTGTGGGTAAAATCTGTGACTGTCAGGTAAGCATGTGCTCTAGCTTTTCCCCAAATGCTTCTTAGAGACAGGTGGGACCTTCCCCTTGGATTCTTCTGTAACTGTCATGTTCTGCCATTTTGCCCTGACACTTTCTTCTTTGCTCTGTGCCTGACTTTGTTATCTTTCTCTGCCTTTATGTGTATTTCGATTTCTTTCTCCCTGTCCTGTTTTCTCTTAGGTTCAGGCTGCCATCTTCAAAACAAATATCAGCAACAGTCTCACCCTCAGGGTGTCTTTGGGATGCTTGAAAACACAGCCATGGTCCTCTGGATGCTATTGGTCACATAGAAGGTGTTAACACAACCATAGTCTTCTGGATGCTACTGGGCAAATAGAAGGTGTTAACACAGCCATAGTCTTCTGGATGCTACTGGGCAAATAGAAGGTGTTAACATAGCCATGGTCCTCTGGATGCTACTGGGCACATAGAAGGTGTGATAACCAGTCTCCATCCCCCCCTCAAAAAAAAAAACCCAAAAAATATGCAAAGTAAATGAGAAATTAGCACAAACACGGCTTTATTGTCTCGTCCCCACTCTTTTTACTTCTTAAGAATTAGATGTGAAGGGCCCAGCAAGATGGCTCAGCTAGGAAAGACACTTGATGCCTAGCCTGAAGACCTGAAGAGTCAAAGCCTGATGAATGGAGAGAAAGGACTTGTGCAAGTTGTCCTTTGACTTCTATATATACATCTTGGCATATGTGCCCCCTCCAAATAAATCACTAAATGTTAAAAAAAAAAAACTTTGAAGTTGAAATGCCGGGCTTTTATATTCTTTGGAGTCTCTATGAATGTCTGTTGGGAAGTATCTATTCTGAATAGACCTATGGCAACCATTAGAAAATTGACTGTACCACACATGTACTGGATAGGCCCCAAATTTGATTTCATAATTATCAAGCTTTACTTGAAGCTTTCATGCAGTAAATTCTCTTGGCCCCATCTCTTTTGCAGATAGCTGATCTTGGTGTGGCTTCCTTTAAGACTTGGAGCAAACTGACTAAAGAGGAGCACAACAAGCAGAGGGAAGTGAACAGCATGGCCAAGAAGAATGGAGGCACCCTCTACTACATGGCGCCCGAGCACCTGAATGACATCAATGCAAAGGCCACAGAGAAGTCAGATGTGTACAGTTTTGGCATTGTACTTTGGGCAATATTTGCAAATAAGGAGCCCTATGAGAGTAAGACATTTGTAGGTGTGGGATTGTGGTAGAAATCAAAACTGTTCCATGAGGGTTGGTGAGGTGGCTCAGTGTGTAAAAATGTTTACCACTAACCCTGACAACCTGAGTTCAGTCCAAACTCCAGGACTTACGTGGAGAAGAAGAGAACTGACACCCAAAATTGTTAGAATATCTCTTCTCTCTCCCTCTCCCTCTGCCTCATATGTACACTTAAAATGTAATAATTTTTAAAACTTTTACTTGAAATGGTAGCCTTCAGTGAATTCTACTAAATATCTTTAATCATTTAATTTCTTTCTACAGTCTCATAAAGGCTGGGGCCACATCTAATTTTTTCATTTCTATATCTTTAACAGAAAACACACACACACAACACACACACACACACACACACACACACACACACACACACACTGATGCCTGGATGTACTCAAGAGACTTTTGTTGAATTAGTCATCCCAGTTTAGGAGAAACCCCTCAGGTGGACAGACACCTTTATAATGTAGCCTAGCTTGGGAGTTGTAAAACTCCAGGATTCTTCCTGGAGTATGGACAGCCTTTCAAACTACTAGGTATGCACCCCATACTTTGAAACTATTCATGAATGAGCCTTTTCTTGACCTGTTGTGCGCAGTTCAGTCAGTTGGGAATATAAAGATGAGTAAGTCATTGTGCACAGAAACAGCCATCGTTGGGTTTGGTAGAAAGGAATGGTTCCTTTCGGTAAATTCTTCCTGATTATCAACACCAGTAGATCAGGTATCATTGTCTCTGCTGATGCCTCTTAAATCTCAGTCTCTGACCATGACTATTAGACCCAGCACATATACCTTGGAAAGCTCCAGAGCAGCATCTCCCAGACAATCTCCCAATTATCACCACTATCCCATAGCTCCCTGTGCTCACCACCTGTACTGAGTTGCACAGTAAACACCTTTAGCACCACCTGAGACTCACCCTTGTCCCCCTTTCCTACATGCAATAAAACTTCAAAAACTGAATTCAGCTAGGAATAGAGCTCGATGTTACAACACTTCGCCTAGCATGTGTAGAGCCTTGGGTTCAAGCCCTAGCACTGCCTGAAAAACAAACAAACATGAATTCTATGACCATCTCCCTGTCCCACCAGCCCTTTTAGTTCAGACCCTCCTTACTTCTGCTTCAGGATCCTTGAGCCTTCCAGATTGTAAAGCAGCCAGGATAGGTCAGTCATCTTAAACAGCAGATGGGACAGGGTGAAGAGATAGCTGGGTAGTTAAGAGTACTAGCTACTCTTCCAGATGATCCAGCTTTGATTTCTGGCACCCACATGGCTGCTCACAACTGTCTGTAATTCCAGTCCCTGGGCATCTGACACCTTCTTCTGGCTCCATGGGCATTGCATACTTGTGATGCACAGACATAATGCAGCCAAAACACCCATGAAAACACATAAAATAAAAACCAAGGAAATAGAATTTTTTGAAGGCAGAGAGGACCATCATCTTATTTAAAATCCTTCAGAGGATCCCATAGCTTGCAGGTTCCTCAGAGTAAAGTGTGAATCCCTTTATGGTTCCCCCTCGTCTTCTCTCCACTCTCTTCTTTGTCTCTCCCTCACGTCCGTGCTCCTGCCAACACTAGGCACAGGTCCCTGATGCGTGTGATTTCTGTCATTCCCATCCTGACAGTGTCCTGCTGTCCTAGCGAAGGGTCTCCCTCAGGAGTCCTCCTTCCTGGTTCTTTACTTTAATATCTCCTTATTTTCTAGACTCAGGGGAATCTTCTAAAACCTTCTGTCCTCCAGATGGTTGTGTTACCCCCTCATATTTGCTACTAGAGTAGCAGTTACCAGTGTGTATTTTAAGTCCCTCTCAATAAACTGAGCTTTTTAAAGCCCGGACCATCCTGGTTTTGCCTCTGTATTGAACTCTGGGGAATGCCCTACCTTTACCCATGCATTTTGTTTGTTTGTTCTGTGCAAAAGTAGCTTTGTTTTGAATTTATCTCTCATCTGCAAAAGTTAAAGCCTCATTCTATCATCTCTACGGTAGACTACATTAACTTCTTGTCACAAGGCTGATGCTCTGTGGAGTGAAACAGCCTTGGGAAAAGCATACAGCAGGTAGAAACCAAGTAGCGGTATTGCCCAGGTCCTGTCATCCTCTGCTTGAGAGTTAAGTAGGACTGAGAGCCCTGACTGAAACTCATCCCTCTTTGCAGATGCCATCAGTCCTGAGCAGCTCTTGATCTGCATAAAGTCTGGGAACAGGCCAAATGTGGAGGACATCATTGAGCACTGCCCACGGGAGATCATCAGACTCATGGAGCAGTGTTGGCAAGCAATCCCCGAAGACCGGCCAACATTTCCTGGTAAGAGAGGGTTGTGTGCATATTCAGGATGCAACCCACATGGTAATACTCGTCAGTAAGGTGACTTTGGTAGTTTAGTTACTTTTCCTGTTGCTGTGACAAAATACAGGACAAAAGCAGCTTGAAGGAGGGGTTTATTTTGCCTTTTTCAAGAGTACAGTCTACCATGACCAGAGGTCTAGAGTAAGGAAGGAGAGAGAGGGATGTTGGCAGTCACTTTGCTTTCTTCTCGTGTTCAGTGCAAGGTCCCAGCCCATGGGATAGCACTGTCCACATTCAGGATGAGTCTTCCCAGGCATACCTCGATCTGTTTCCCAGTCACCTCGATCGAAGTGTGACCCTAAATCCAGTCCGGCTAATGATAAAGATCAGTCACCACAGTTAGGAACATGCTTTTGAGTACCACATTACGTGTGGCTTCAAACTGACTTGATACACTTCAAGCACCTTGTCAGTGAAAAGGTACTCCCTCCCCCACAGCACAGGCTTCTTCATTTCCTCCTCTAGTTTGGGAGTTAGCATTTTCATTGTTTTGAAGTACATACAACACTTTCCATTTTAGCTGCTGTAAGTATACAGTCCAGGGGTATGAAGTCCATTCCTATTTTTCAACGACATTTGTCACTGTCCGTCTCCGGGCCCCAGTGCGGAGCACAACTCTGTACTCACTTCCCCTTCTCCTTCCAGTCCTGGTACCAGCATTCTGTGAAATCTGACTGCCTTGAGTGGCTCATAGAAGTAAAAAAGTCACACGATACTTCTGCTCCATATCTGTCTTGCTTTACTGAGTCTAATGTCTCTAAAGTTTATCCACGTTGTAGAACATGCCAGGATTTTCTTTTTATTGCTGAATAATATTCCATTATGTAGATAGATAGTTTTTGTTTGTGTATTCATCTGTTGGTAGACACTTGACCTTACCATTTCTAACTTCTTTCACTATTTTCCTCCCCTTGGTTAGTTCTTGGTGTCCTCAGAAATGTATTCTGCCACTTAGGTTGGCCCTGTATTTGAGGAAAACGAAGGCAATATGGTGTTTGGCCCACTTTTGCACCTGTCCCATCCCCTAGATTACCTAGAAGTGTGTGAAGTGGCCAAAACAGAGGAGCAGAGATAAAATAGGAGGCAGTTGGGAACCTACAGAGCATCATGCTAGTAATGTATGTCTGTGAGAAAACAGAACTGGAGTTCCACCCAGCGACTGTGTAGACTAGGCTGACCTCCAATTCTCGGAGATCCCTCTTTCTTCTGGCTACTGAGATTAAAGGTGTGTGCCACTAAGCCTGGCCTCAAGCCTAGACCCCCACCTCTTAAAGATACCACAGCTCCAGACAGTGCTGCAGGCTGAAGACCAAGCCATACAGTGGGGGTCATTCAAGATTCAAACTGTAAGCTGGGCGATGGTGGCAGAGGCAGGCGGATCTCTGTGAGTTCGAGGCCATCCTGGCCTACAAGAGCTAGTGCCAGGACAGGCTCCAAAGCTACAGAGAAACCCTGTCTCGGGAAAAAAAAAAAAAAAAAAAAGATTCAAACTGTAGCATTTTCCTGCCTTTCTTTGGGTTCTTGAACTTGTTTTAGGATTCTAGTTTGATTCATGTGTAGTGTTTTTCTCTGTATGGTTTTCATGGACTGTTTTTTCATACAGGCGTTGAAGAAGAATTTAGGCCTTTTTACTTAAGTCAGTTTGAAGAATATGTAGAAGAGGATGTGGCAAGTTTAAAGGTGAGTGATACAGCAAGTGCCCAGAATAGCAGCGTACCAAAATGCATTATCAAGCATGGAAGCAGAAGCAGTGTGATTTGTTACTGAGATTTGAAGTGGGCTAGCTTGGGGAACACAGAAAACAAAATTAGTAATCGCAAGAAGTATCATTGAAATGTGTGAAGCAAGAGGAAAATATATGTACAAAATACAAAAAAAAGGACACCCAATATCAAAGAGACTGGAAATTATTACAAATGAGTCCGTCATTCTTAAGAATTTATTAAGAAGAAAACCTTCCTGGGGATATAGCTCAGTGATAGATCATGCATGAGGTTTTGAGTTCTGTTGCCAGCACCACCAAACAAGCAAATAACCTCACATACAAAAAAAAAAAAAAAAAAAAAAAAAAAAAAGGCACCAAATAGAAAGAGAACAAAAACAACATATCTATTGAAACATAGAAAAGAGTAAAGATGCTAACTCACAAACTAATGCGAAGAGAGGAGTCATGGAAGACCACGGCAGAGAACAGTTGTTTGAGAGCCACATCCATGCTGTCAAGAAAAGCTAGTTCCTCCATCTACTTCCTTTGTGCCAAGCTCTCAGTGGCAACAACATCTAAGGCAGAAGTGGGGAGTTTGGTATCTGGAGTAAGAGCAGTACATTAAAGTTCAGTTTCCAGCTAACCCGCTAAGAGGAACAGAAACCTGCATACACTATTGTGTGCGCAGATACATGCGTGTGTGCACGTCACACACACACACACACACACACTCCCTTTAGTCATCACTGTGCTGCCATAACTTACTTAGAATCATACACCCATACATGTGAAAAGGAAACTTCAATAAAGAAACCAAGCAAGCAAACTGATTTTCAAGGAAGTAAGTGAGTAGGTGGGTGAGTAGTAGATAGAGAAACTAGCAAGAATCTACATACTTTGGAGGGATTCTTACACTATAAAAGAGACATATGATAATCAAGGTGGATACTAAGGCAAAAAAGCACTACCTCACGCAGGAATACTTGGTAAAAACAAAACGGTTCATTTCACGGGAAGATATAGACATACCCATGGTAACAAGTCCTTGAATACACAAATAAAAACTGAGAGAATTCAAAGAAAATTGGAAAAATCCTCAGCCATGCTTAGAGATAGTAATACATCCCACTTTAATTGATACAGCAAACAGATCCAACCAATCAGTAAGGATTTAGACTGTTTGAAACTCACTTTTTTTTAACACACTTAACCTAATATAAACATAAATCTCTGTATCAAATAACTTCCAAATAGCTACTGCCTTAGTTTTATTTTCTTAATATAATAAAATACCCTGACAAAAGCAACTTCAAGGAAAAAGGGTTTGTTTGGCTCACAGTTCCAAGAAGGTCAAGGGAGTAGGAATTTGAAGCAGGTAGTTACATTGTAATCCACAGTCAAGAGTGGAGAGCAATGAATTCATACACCCACCAAGTATTCTGCTTGCTTTTTCCTCTCTCTAAAATCCTCTGTCAGAAAGTAGCACCACCCTCCGTGGGCTGATCTTAGTATTCAAAATAATCCTCCATAGATCTGTCCACAAGCCAGCCAAGTGTAGACAGTGTCCATAGACTTGTCCACAGGCCAATCTAGTGCAAGCAGTTCTCTCTTGAGACTCTTCCCAGGTAATTTTGGAGTATGTAAAGCTGGCAGTTAAATTAGCCATCACACTTAACCTTGAAATACTTTTCAAAAACATTTTTTAAATTAACATATATAAACACTTAAGATGATTATAATATGTACCCGGAGAGGTGGCTCAGTGATTAAAAGCCCTGACTACTCCTCCAGAGCACTCAAATGCATAGGACCCAGAGCAGTCTTACAACTCAGAAAGACAACTGCATTAAATTATAGACAGAAGCAAGATGTAGTAGCACATACTCAGGCAGAGGCAAGTAGGCCTCTGAGTTTGTGACCAGCCAAGTCTGTATAGCGGGACTCTTTCAAAAACAACCGTAAAAACAAACAGCAACAAAAATACAGAGACAAAATACTGAAGTCAACAAATCACCAAAGAGACGCCCAAACAGCCAGCAGCTGCATCAGAAAAGTAGCCCTACCAGTAACAAGGGAAATCAAGTCATACCAGGTGATACAGTGTCTGCAGATGGGCAAACATGGAGAAACTCTTCAAAACGACATGAGAGAGAGGTAAATAAATGCTGGCATAAGGTTATGGATTAAAAGAAGCACATAATCTGATAAAGTTGTTAGCTTTCCTAATGTCATTGGTGTATAGAACATAATCCTAATGGGAAAATCCCGCCAAAATTCTCTAGTGAGCTAAACAAGCTTAAGTTAGTATTGGGGAAAGAGAAGCAAACAGACATACCCACCCCAGGGAACAAATGAAGTCGCTAAAACAATGTTTTTGAACAAGAATTATCATCATAAGAAGAAATACTATATCACTGATCAGCAAATTTCAGAACTGTATTTGGTATCAGAGAAAAACAAATTGAATCAATTTTTTTTATCCCTAAGATAACTGTTTTTGATTGATTGGTGAGAGTAAGTGTTGGTAAATACAGACGTCCCCATTGGTGAAGGTTCTTGGATGATAAATAACCTTAGATCTTGTCTCCTCACATGTGTTTAGAATGTTAGGAAACTGTGTGTGCACACTTAGCCTTAGGAGTCCGTCCTAGCATACACACTCAAACATGTTATTTCAAAAGATGCTTATACTTCGGTTGACAAATAAAAACTCAGAAACAATGCCGATGTCTTAAGCAGATGCCCCGAATCATGGCTGACCCAAACCCACACAGCCAATATTAAGAGGTGAAGATGAAAGGTAATGACATGGAAGGCTCCTCAAGACTTGTTAGTGAGAACAAAGAGTCCCTTCACATTAAGTGTGTGTGTGTGTGTGTGTGTGTGTGTGTGTGTGTGTGTTTGCATGCATTACGATGGGCATGCCAGTGTCTAGAGGGAGAAAAGGACTGGGCATCCCACTCTGAATAAGGATTTCCCATAGAGAACAGTCTAGAAGGTTGGAGGGAATGGCACGCAGAAATGGCTCTGCGTGTTCTGCATTATGTGACGTTTCAAAACTCTTACTTAAATTCATTGTGTAATTAAAAAAGTAGCTATAAAAAGAAAATCACTTTTGCAAAAATGTTTAAAATGCATGAAACTGCTAGACATGGTTTACACACACTATTAATCCTAGCACTTAGGAAGCAAATGCAGGTGTTCTGCATATGTGTGTGTCCAGTTTTCTGGCTCTGAGTGCTCCAGGACACCTTGGTCAAACATCAGTTGACCATATAATGAGGGTGGGAGAGTATTTCTTAGACTCCCTAGTCTTATCCTGTGATCTGTGTATCTGTTTTATGTAACTCTATAGCTTTGTGGTAACTGTTGAAATTAGGAAATATAAGTTAACTGTGTTAATTTGACATCATTTTATCTATTGGAAAAATGTTTAATTTGTGAGAAAAGATTACTGCTTATTAAATTTATATGAAATGTCTTGATGTTGTAAAGAGCTTGATTCTTTTCAGAATAATTTTCTGCCGATTGCTAAAGTGTCTGTGTATCTTCTCAATTATAGAAAGAGTATCCAGATCAAAATGCAGTTTTGAAGAGAATGTATTCTCTCCAGAATGACTGTGTACCCTTGCCTCCAAGCAGGTCAAATTCAGGTAATGCCCCCATTTATTCATTTACCTATTCATCCATTCATTTGAGTCCCTAAAATACTTCTGCAATCCATATGAAAACTGGAAGAAAATGTAAGCTCAAACAGCTGCCTTAAAAGAATTCATGCCTACTCTAAAATCTAGTTATGTATCTTGGAAACTTCTTAACTATGTGCTCACCAGATTCACAGTGTCCTGATGCAAGCAATCTGATGCATCTCACAGGAAGACAGTGACAGTTCAGGAGGAAGTTGGGAACCCATGTGGGTGCAGAGTCCTTGAGATCAGAGCACTCCAGAAAAGTTGGTCTCAAATTCATGCAGGGGTGCTTTTTTTTTTTTTATTACAACAGAAGGGAAGACATCATGTGAGATACCAAGGTCATAGCCATATGATCTGAAGCAAATTACATAACCTTTTCCAAACCTCATCCAGTCATGGATGTAATGACCTGCACTCCCACAAACAATTTGTGTGTGTGTGTGTGTGTACATGTGTATACGTATATGTATATATATTTTATATAATCATATATATGATGTGTGTACGCAAAAGAGCGCATCAGCTCCCCTGGAACTGGAGTTCCAGGTTGTTGTGAGCCACCTGACGTGGGTCCTGAGCTGAGAACTGAACTAAGTGCTCAGGGAGAACAGCAGGTTCCTTTAACTACTGAGCTATCTCTCTTGCCTTTCTGTGAGCTTCTAAAGAACAAAAGAACAATAAAATGTGCACAGGACAAAGCTGCTACTTTTTTAGACCCCACATGGTTCCAAGATGACAGTCACCATCTCAATCCAAGGCAAGTCCCCTTCTGCCTCAGCCATCCATGCAAAACTCTGTTTTGTTGCTTGTGATAATGCCCATGTTTTCCCCTACAGACAGGGTTCCTGCTAATCATATACTAACCCTATAGGAAGGGGACTGTTATATGCTTTTCATGATTCTTATTTTCAGCATGTCACTCAAGGACAGGTTCATGAAAATGTTCAAGTTTTATTTTACTTTTTATATTGATCATTTCTTTCCTACTGCAGAACAGCCTGGTTCGCTGCACAGCTCCCAAGGACTCCAGATGGGACCTGTGGAGGAGTCCTGGTTTTTTTCCTCTCCGGAACAACCACAGGATGAGAATGAGTGCAGTGTACAGGCTAAACTCCAAGAGGAAGCCGGTTACCATGCTTTTGGAAGATTCACAGAGAAACAGGCAAAACCGCAGCCAAAACAGAAAGTGGCTTATAGCAGAGAGGAGGAAAGGAAACGAAGGGTCTCCCATGACCCCTTTGCACAGCAGAGACCTCATGAGAATGTTCAGAGTGGAGCAGCCAGAGGTCTTTCTGATCCCGGCCCACCCTGTTATGGAAATACAGCACACCAGCTGTCAGGGCCAGCCAGCCAAACACGAGTGCCATTCTGGAACAACGGATTATATAATCATGGGTTTAGACCTGCAAGTGCAGGAGTTTTGTTTGGGCCAAATGCAAGCCAAATGTATAATACTTTTAAAACTCCGGTACCTGAGACCAACCTACCAGGAAGCACACCTACCATTCCATTCATCTCCTTGCCACTAACAGGTAAATGATTTTAGTAGTCCCTATCTTGTCCTTTCTTTTTCCCCTGACAATGAAGCCACCAGTAGCATTGTCATCAATTCTAAGTTATTGAGGACAAAGAGCACTCAGAGCTTTCAAGTAGCTACAGCCTTCCACTTTGAAATGGTCTCCCTCAGACCACATGGACTGTGATTGTGTTTGATCTGTGACCCATCATGGATGCCTGCAAGTGTGGATTATAGATCATAATATGTAGACAGAAGTTTCTGTCCTATCTGATCCTACAGCCATTCCGTCCCAAATAAACACATATAGGCTTATATTAATTACAAACTGTTTGGCCTCTTAGCTCAGGCTTATTACTAACTAGCTCTTACAGCTTAAATTAACCCATAATTCTTATCTGTGTTTAGCCTCATGGCTTGGTGGTACCGTTTCTCAGTAAGGTATTCTCATCTTGCTTCCTCTGTGTCTGACTGGTGACTGTGTCTCTGCCTTTCTTCTTCCCAGAATTCCCTTAGTCTGGTTGCTCCACCTATACTTCCTGCCTGACTACTGGCCAATCAGCATTTTATTAAACTAATATGAGTGACAAATCTTTACAGTTTACAAGAGCATTATTGTACAACACTTACAACTGATAAGCAACTCTCTTTATCCTGTGTGAGATACCAGCCTCTCCAATAAATGGAAAGTATTTTCTTATATTCTTTTTATTTTTCTTCTTGTCTTCTGAGGCTAAGAAAGAAGTATTAGGTATTTTTGTTTCTTGTGTAGATATAGAATACAGTTTGTAGTAAGAAAGGTATGTTTCATCTTCCATAGCTCTCTCTGGTGAAATCCAAGCTAGTTGTAGTTTCTAATACACTGGCATGGAAGAAACTTAGTATCCATCATTATTACCAAATAATAGTTCCCATGCTACCTTATCTTACCCTGATGTCATCCATTAGCATTAACTGTACTGTAATCCTGAAATCAGCAGATGGAGAGGAAGCTCTGTGAACCACAGAACTTTCTGAACTGGCTGTGTAGCTCAGTGGTACAGAGCTGGCCTGGCATGCATGATGCCCTGTGTTCCTTGATACAAAACAATTAGTCTTTCAAAATGACAAATTCCCCAAAGTATTCTGCCTTTTCTGTAGGTGTTCTTGTAATCTCTGTGGAAAACACATTGTTAGACTAGCTATGAAGCAAGATCTCTAAGTACATACACTTATGAGTGGGATGTCCTTCTGTTTCCTTTGAGTTTGCAGCCAAAATGTTTTGTGTCACCGTTGTATTTTATTCATGATTAATTCATTAAAAATTTCTCTAACACTTCCTGCTTTGTGCCTGACTGCTGGAGAACTGTAACATGAGCAAGCAGCCTGCGCTCCTTTCCTCACAAAGCTGGAATCTGCATGCGTGGAAAGCAGTCATCACCAATATATAATGTGTCGTTTTCTGGTCCTGTCTCCATATGAGTAGCCCAGTCTTAACTAGTTTTCTGCAAAAGTTCTCACTCTGTCTCTAAGCCCCAGTTTTGCCAAGAATAGATTCTCTTAATGATGCTGAGTTTTTGCCAGTAGTAAGGGGAATCTCAGTTCACAATGAGTCATGGAATTACTCTACCCTGAAGAGGATCTCACAGACATGATTCTTCAGCTTGCTTCTCTGCTCTGATAGACCTAACAAATGTGAGCTTTCTAACTCTTAACTTCCATATAAGAAGAGTGTGTCTACCTGTAAATGGAAAAGGAGAATAAAGTAGCACTTGGGTTGCTATTATTTTGAGTATGCTGCTGTAAACATGGATATAGAAATCTCAGTCAGTCAGTCTATCTCTCTCTGCGGTGTGTGGGAGAGAGAGTGTGTGTGCGCGCGCATGTGTGCTTGCATGTCATACCTAGAAATGGAATGACTGAATCATATGGTAATTCTATCTTTAATTTTGGAGAAAACCCCATACTGTCTTTTACTTTGGTTATACCATTTTCATTCCCAACAATGTATGGGCGCTTTATTATTCCACATGCTTGCCAACACTGATGTCTTTCTTTCCAATGGTAGGCATCATAATGGTTTTGAAGTCAAGTAGCCACATTTTAAAGAAATGACTATTTGGGGTGTCATAGGATAAACAGCTGAACATCTGTAATAGAGTCCTCCACCTTTACATGTCATGTGTTTTTTCTCTTGCATTCAATCTCATGTACCTAACCTATGTCTTTTTCTCTATTCAGATGAGCCCATAAGATATACTATAAGCAATAGTTCTGCTGTTCAAATTGGAAACTACAATTATATGGATCTTGGCCCGAGTTCACAACTACCAGACAACATGTGCAAAGAAGAATCAGTTCCCAAATACCATGCCATCTTCGGTAAAAATAATAATTAAGGACCACTGTTGGACCGAGATGTCGCTATAGGAAATTGCTTGCCTAGCATGCATGAAGCCTTGAATTGAGTCCCCAGCATTCAAGGGGATTTTTTAAAAAGGATACAATGTCTTATGACTTAGACACTTTTTGACCATTTTTACTTGTTGAGAGAGGAACATAATAGAATCTTAAATTTTCTTTTAAGATTCTCTCTGAAAGTTATCCTATATTTTCTCATTAACTTTTTTAGGTATATATTATGTGTGACTGTTTTGTCTGCTTGCACTATACTCACACCTGGTGCTCACAGAGGTCAGAAGAGAGCATCAGATGCTTTAGAGCAGGAGTTAGGATGGTTGTGAGCTATGTGGGTGCTGGAGCAGACCCAAACAAGTATAGCCAGTGCTCTTAGCTGCTGAGCCAACCAGTGCTGCCCTTACTCGGTAATTTTTAATCCTTTGTTAGCCATTTTTTTTAACACAGGGATAATCACAGTATCTTATTGGTGGTGGTGGTGTGAAGCTTATACTAGTCAATGTGTGTTGAAAATGTAGGACACTAACTGTGAATATTAAACGTGACATCATTATCCATGATCCTGTTCAGACTTGGGGAAATGACTCCCTTGGCTCCGCAGCAAAGGAATTCTGTAGAACACAGAAGACCATGCCCTCCATAGCACTCCATAATAAAAACAAGAGCTCTCATAGGTCTCCACAGCTTCCTGCCACGAAGCAGTGATGCATGCCTGTAATCCTATGGCTAGGGCAATTGAATTGGGAAGATGGCGAGTCCCAGGTCAGCCTGGCTATAGCAAAACCCTGTCTCAAAAAGGAACTGGAATTCAGCTTTCTGATTAACTTTAGAGGTGGCAGTTTTGATTTTATATATGTGTGTGTGTGTTTATTTTGTTTTGTTTTTATGAAGGGGCATGTAATAGGCAAGGCTCTGATTGCCCTGAGGCCTCCCCATCATTGGAGTGCAGAAGCAGCCACAGATAGTATAGGTATGGTCATTCACAGAAAGCAGGAGCCAGACTTGGCCCACAGGCTGCATACTCTACCAATTGCTGAACTACCCCATTGGAAGAGTGACCTTTAAGATGCCTAAGAGGTGGGTTCTTGGCTTTTGAGGAACTGAAGTGACCTTTGTGACTCTACTGACACCCAGGGCTCCTGTCCTACAGAGACTGGCAATTTGCAGTTACCCAGGAGGCTCTTAGACTGCTCCAGAGTTGACAGATTCTGTGCTGCTGTAGTGCTAACGGGAGCTGAGGGGGAAATGAGGTGTTTGAATTTTTTTTCCTTAGAAATTCAGCCTTTTGAAGTGGGATAAGGACTAAAGGCTGTTATGATGACTTTCCCTTTTTTTTTTTTCCTCTCTTTTTTGTTTTTTCAAGATAGGGTTTCTCTGTGTAACAGCCCTAGATGTCCTAGAACTTTGTAAACCAAACTGGCCTTGAACTCAAAGAGACCCATCTGTCTCTGCCTCCTGAGTGCTGGGATTAAAGGCATGCACCATCACCCTGGGCCATTTCTTATTTTCATGTGTTCCCTTATTTTTTTTTTTTTGACGGTCTAAGATGATGGAACTAGTGGCAAGAGAAAGGCC